TAATCCATAACTTTATAGGGAAAAGTCAGGCAGTCCTTGCATAGCTATTCTTGTCTTCATTTAACTTGTGTTTCTCTTTTCCCTCCCCCAACAAACAGGAAAGAAAGTATTGAGCTACGTTCGCCATCGCTAGGGTTGACTTCATAAACAAAAGTTACCCAGTGTACTATCTAACATCTTCATCGGACAACCGCTTATATCCAGGTCAATCAATGGAAGCTGTTCCAATTCAGTACTTCCTCACTGTATCATCAAGCTTGCCACCCGCCAGATACCTACCTCGAAAGGGAGTGTCCGGGGAATTGTCCCTGCTTGATGAAGGCGCTCCAAATATCATCGCCGCCTAGCGCCTACGCGCTCTTTGTTAGATAGTTGCCTAGCTAGAACCTCAGTTGTGGAATCAACAAACATCAATTTTCCCCAATCTGGACCTTCGAGAAAAACCATGCCATATTCCCGTCAAATTTCCAGGTAGACAGCCCAAACCACAGTTGGTCCTGTATGCAAGGTTCCGTTCGCAGGTCAGGTTAGAGTAACATGCAGTAGATCATTTTGAAGTAATATGGGAACGCTATATCATATAATCTTAAGATAGTAAAGCCTGATAGAGCTTAACTAGACGCTTGATCGGCTAGCTTCACTAACTGCCAAACCCTGAAACTAACTACTCATACAACCCTAATTCCAAGCATTTTTGAGCTGAACATGTGTAGCCTGTGTTGGCCAAACATGCTCTTTTTCCCGTTCAATACTAATATCAAGTAAAGCCTCCTACTTTTCACGTTTCGTAACCATATCTCCACACATAGTGATTGCCATCGAGGCCGTCACAAGTGCTGGTGCAACACGGAGATTGGAAAGAGCAATACCGCATAGCCTTTTCAATATATTCTTAAATTTAATCTCCACGGGTCGAAGAGCCTCCGGTCTGAGTCAGACCCAAACGCGTGATCCTTAGGTTGCAGACCGTAAGCAGGATCCATGCGAGTTCCAAATGCTAGACCCCAATAACGTGGCAACTGTCGTGATACCAGGGTTCTGGAGATATTTCATATTTCACCTTTGGAATGGTCGAGGTCACGCACATAGAAAGGCGTAAACGAATGGCGGGCCGTGTTCTATCCAGAGATCATCGAATGCCTCTACCTCCTTGTACCGACTCAGTCTGTCCACATATGTCCCATCTATTCCTACAGTAGCTGAGGCTGTCATCCGAGGAGGCTGTGTGAGAGCGGTAGTCGGAGTTTTATTGCCTGGGGATCCTAGGTGGCACTAGTATCAACCCTCGTCCCCGCGCCAAAGCTTTATTGCAAGACATAGGCAGAACGAATAGCAAGCCTATTGGCCCAGGCATAGTCATCTGAATAAATGATATAGCTCGCAAGAATCCTGTGCTAGACAAAATGCACGCTGCTTGGAAAAGGCTGTGAGAGCTTCTCGACGTAAGGCTATCCAGAAGGCAGCAAGACGAAGTCCATAATCGGAAGCAGCTGACATAGCCTGGGGATCTAGAAATATCTGGATGCGACGAACGGCGCTTTCAATATCTTCTGCTATGGACGGGGCTCCAATGTTCATATTAGCAATGTATTCAAAGCTAATGACTAGATAAGAGGAGCCCTGTATCACCTACCGTCTACCTCTGAATAGGAGCGAAGAATGATAGCTGCAGCGAGCAGGTCTTGAATCCTAGCTTCCAGTTGGTCGCCGGAAAGGGAGATTAGATGCGCGATACATTTGTTATGATAGTGAATGGCAGTCTTGGGGGTAGGGCTAGGTACTACTTCCCCATCGGACTTAACCTGACCCCCGCTGCGGTACCTTTTCACTTGGCTTAGGTGTTTGGCCGACATGGCTGACGTGGTGAACATGAATATTGCGTTTAATAATGGAGGGGATGTCCTTGAACGCTGTGGGACAACAGTCGCGAAGTGCCTCTCGCGGTCACAGATATCAAGCTATAGCAAAATGCCAGTGTTGAGTAAAACAGACATTGTAAACTCTAGCACTTACCCACGGCGCGAGCTCATTCACATAACCGATCGCATCAGGCAGGCCTCTTAAGGGGGTATATTGAGTCTGAGGAAAGTTGTGCGTCGGAAGCGAGCGCAAGCTATCATTGAGTGGATAGCTTAAGATATCTGCTGAGTTTGTATGGGCATGGTAGGATGAATTAGGGTCTAAGGGAGGAAGTAGATCCTCATGATCTGACAGAGACTGAAATTGGCCAAGTGAGGCGGTATGCTCCCCGGACAGAGGGATTGGAATGATCAGGGTAGATGCCTCGGTAGGTGGGATAAGGGCTACTCTGGGATATAAAATCTGGTGAGGATCTTCCAGAACACGTCTCCTAGTTATAGTGCTTTTCTATGTCGGACATTTTGTCCCCAAAGCTAAGGGAGACTATACACGAATGTGGATGGTTAGAGTTGGGGGTTTCCTTTAGTTGAATTCAGGGTTGACGGGGAGTCAAGCATAACATACCTTCATCCGAAAGGCTGGCCCAGGGCTAGTCAGTCTCAAAACCTAAGCCATATTTCTCATTGGAGTTGTGGCAGAAACGGACTTTGTATGCACCCCGAATACAAGCCAGCCCGGCTCGCATGCAGCGTTGACATATTGGCTGGTTTAGATCACCTATTAAATAATTTATTAGAAGGCATAACACGATCAGTCTTTTCCTTTTCGACAGTCCACGGAAAAGATGCAGGCCATTCCATCATGCCTACATTTTCTATGCTGGCCTTGATCGATGTCAGCCGTGCGGTAAACCAACTAGTGCGACGCTCACATTAACTGCGGCAATTATATCTAAGAATAATGATATGAGCAGTCAAAGAGCAACTAGCTTGCTCAGGGTATCCTCACCAGGGTGGGACCCTGTGTTGGCCATGAATTGGCATAATTATGATAAATCATACGCATAGATCAGCTGTAATATCTAATAACGAGATGAGAACAGAAAGGACAGGACAGATCATGGTAAAGAGGGGGGATTTCTCATTAACGGCAACTCTTGAGCTGCAGGGGAATTTTGCCTTGAAATTTCCTCTATGCTAGTCTAGACTTGATATTGGACAAGCCCCACAGTATTACCCCATACAAAGTGAAGAGGAGGTTGGAATGCTTGGTATTCCTACCCCTAACCTTCACAATTCCATGAGGAAAGAATTACCCCCAAAGGGAAAGACGCCTTTTCCGGCGCAAGGGATTCCTTTTATTTTGAGAGACATTCGATAGCATTGAGGATTCTTGCTAACGGATAGTCAATATACCACACGGAATAGCGTAGAACAGAAGCCAAATTTCTACTATATGGCGATCATCAAATAGCTGTAGGAAGCTCCCGGTCCATCGCTTGCTTGCGCTCCTTGCGGAGCTTCCTATAATGATCGACTCCAAAACCATGACGGAAGACCTTCGAATCTCCTCAAGATTCAGTCCTGAGGTTTCAGGATAGAAAAAATTCAACAACCAGCCGATAAAGGATAGGCCTGCGTAGAAGCCAAAGGCCCCAGAGAGGGCTATGCTCGTTATTATTGACAAGAATGTTGAGGAGACGATGTGGTTCGCTCCCCCACAGCAGCAAGCAGGCCATGTACATGGCTCCAATTGCACGGACCTCCATGGGGAAGAAGTCAGCGTTCATCCATGGGGTATTACCGATTGAGACTCCGTAGAACAAGACAAACCGGATGATAAAGGCCAGTACAACGATAGCTGGAGTAGTAATTTTTTTTTGTTGACCTGTAGCGTGTCTAGATTCACGGAGATATACGCGAAAGCGGCTGCAACTGCGGCCAGTCCAGCAGACATCCCCACATGGTTGACACTAGGAGCCGCCGTCGGCCAAAGGGTCGACCACCATCAATATTAACCCAGGTCATCAAGAGATTGGTGCCGGATACAACTAGGCGAACTGCAACTAAGTTGGAGAACCCAACTAGTGCGAAAAGCGTGCCGGAGTAGTACATGAGGACGTTGAATCTTTTCACTACGTGCAGCTTGCTGCGGCCCTCATTGCGGGGCGGTGATTCCTGCACCACGCCGCGTCGATAAGATGCACTTTAGACTGCACATCTTCCAGGTAGTCATGGCTAAAGATTCGCTGCAGCACCTTCGCAGCTGCATCATGCTTATCTTGGTAGATCAATTGGCGCGGAGGCTCCGAACAGAGGGGAAGCAGCATCGCTAGGAGGAGTACACTTGGCACACCACCTAGGCCGACCATGTACCGCCAGCCAAGGGGTACGCCGGCAAGGGCGGCTCCAAGGGCGTAATTAATGACTTAGCCTCCGATGATACTTCACGTTATTCAGCCATATCAAACGACCGCGTTGTTCGTCGTTGCAATTTCCGCAATATAAGCGGCACAATCATTGCTCCTGATCCGACCCCAAGACCCACAACCTCTCTTCCAACTGCCATTTGCGGGACAGAATACGAAGTAGCTAGGAGGACAGCACCAGCTGTGAATAGACCACATCCGAGTACATCGGCCCTTTGTGACCGAAACGGTCCGCCGCTAAGCCTGCGATAATGGCACCCACGAACGATCCAGCTGAACAGGGCGAGGTAATAAGTTCCTTTTCACTTGCAAATAGTTTATGGCCAAGACTGTCTTGCAAATACACAAGTACAACCGAAATGCTGCCCGTGTCGTAGCCAAATAACAGCCCACCGATTGAGGCAGTGAATGACACAAGCCAAATGTAGCTTCACTACCGGACTGAAGGTCTTTGCTAGGGCTTTCGGCCTTCTGTTTCTCGTTCTGAATTGCATGACAGTGAGGAAACCTCTCGATGTAGCTGAAAAGCAATGGTGTTAGAATTGTCAACTAAAGGGTAGCTAGCCCGTAGCGTACCTGTCACTCAAGCATACTGAGATGGCTATTGTGTAGAAGATTGAGCTGTTACCATAAAGAAAGTCTTAGAGGATGGGGAAATATATTTGCAGGGAGCAATAGCAACAATGAACGCTTGGATCCATCTATACTGGACTTGCCTTTTTGGACAACTGTCGATTAGGATGCAGAAAGAATACGTCGCATACTAAAAACTAATATTGGCTAACTTCACTCACTTTTTCCCTATTATGGTCAACATCCTATTACAGGTCAAAGTAATTTTGGTATGAATATCTTGGTTTTCAAAAAATTACCCAATCAAGGACCGTTGGCGCAACGGTAGCGCGTTGTAAGTTGACAATTACCGAAATAAGTAATATACAGAACATCAATTCTGACTGTCCAATCACAGCGACTCCAGATCGAAAGGTTGTCCGTTCAAATCGGGCACGGTTCAATTTTTTCTTTTTTGAATCTTAGATTATCAGTCGATATCTTTATTATGTCTTTCCGATGGTCCAGGAGCCTTAAACTAGCATTGATACGTGGAAGTGGGAGACGGATGACAGATTGGTCCTGTCGAATTCTATATACCTAACTCTTGGGCATGAATGTAGATGTCGAAGCTGCGCATAATCGAGTAGATCTACAAACCTTTCTAAGTTTTCCTAAACCTTTTTGCCCTTTTGTGTTAGAATCCTCTAGAGCTGTGCACGCCGAAGGAAAGCCAGCCCCCCCCCCCCCCCCCCTCCCAAACCAGGCCAGATGCAAACCTACTAGTCTAGTATAAATATGTAATTCGAAGTGCGTTGTTGCAGGACGATACTTGCTAGTACTACACGGGCTATAATTGCCTAGGTGGGAGAGCTATTATGCAATACTTTCCTACTATTTTACCAAGTTGCGGCGCAACTTGCCAATATAATGTCACCTACTCATAACCCTAAGTCTGCGCATGTCGTTCGAAAGCCTTGAATTCGGTAACAATGAACCTTCTCTGGCAGTGCCATTGATGCAACATATCGTTAGATAATATAGTCGAACAATAGATGGTATGAATAAAGGCATTGAGGTGCTAAAATATTCAATGCGAAAAGCCTTTCCTTAGTAGTAGACGTCAAGGGGGTAGAAGAACTTCCATTATCTTGGGAAAGTAATTCGACGGATATGGCAGGTTGCTATACCTTCAATTTTGTCATGATAGTTTCAAGAGCGACATGACACGAATAGATATATGGATCGTGTTTTGAGGACTGATCTATTGTTGAACTGACATTTCCTATCAAGATCAAATTGACAGCATGTATTACACGTTCACTATTACGGTCTCCAGTACCGTACTTTTCATATAATTCTTCGTACTTAAGCCTATCCTGGACTATATCTGCGATCCAAAAGGCCTACGAAAATACCCCAACTACAATCTTGAGACACGGCAAGGCCGGCATCCGCTCAAAGGAATTGAGCGAGATGCATGTGACGTACCCTGCGATCTGAATTGATCCCAACTTCTTCTCCTACGACGACCTCAAGGAAATACAAGATATATACGGCAATGGCACTAAGTGCGGCAAAGACATCTTCTACCAAACGGAAGCCGGATCCCACTTCAATCTGGTAAATTTGATCGATAAGCGAGACCACGAACGAAAGAGGAAGATCCTTTCCAGCGCATTTGCCTCGAAGAATGTTGAAACCTGGGCATCCAAGATGGCGGAAAAATTTGGCTCTGTCTATCAACGCGGTGACGAGCACCGCAGCTCGCCACCACCAGAGATCCCTGAGGAGCCGGACCCAAAGGATTTTGCCTTTGATTACCAAGCTTGGACAAACCTTCCTCGCTAATTGATGCCACTGCCGATATCGCCCCTGTCTGTGAAGCTGGGGTTGCTTGTCATTGGGAATGATCGTGTGACTGCAGAGGCCAGACATGGAACACTACGTCAGGTGCATTTCCGAGGCTACCTTCATACTTCGAAGATTTCTCATACACATATTGCATATGCCGATAGGTGGTATAGATTCAATAGTCGATATGCAACATGGCTATTGCCGTCTTACAGGACACTAAAGGAGTTTAGTAGTGACGGCTAGACAGACTTCATTTATCACCAAGAAGCCGCCTTTCTCGGTAAATGTCGGGCGATCAGAACGATGACTTCTTTCAGTACCTGATGATGACGAAGGATTGCAAACCCAATAATCTGTAATGGGGCGACATTACCGCAGAAATCATTGACATATTGGATGCAGGCTCAGCCGCTACGCAATCGCTTTGACTAACGTCATGTTCTGGTTACTAAAAATGCCAGAGTGTCTAGCCCGTCTACGGGAAGACATAGATGTCGCTCTAGACCCGGAAGACATAGTCGCACCGTACGAAAAGTTAAGAATATTCCTTACTTGCGGGCTTCTCTGGAAGGGAGCCTTCGAATCACACCTTTTGCCTTCAACCTGCCCCGTCGCACCCCCGGGAAGGAACTTGCATACTAGGAGTTTATTCCAGGCGATACTGCCGTATTGATGTCATCTTCTGTTGTACATCATAACGAGAGGATCTTTCTAGACCCTGAGGAGTTTAAACCCGACCACTGGCTTGGTGATAAGCGGCCGGAAATCCTTATATTCAGGACTGGCACCTGAGGATGCGTTGGTAGGAACATTACTTACTTGGAGCAAACTGTGGTGGCGGCGAGTGTGCTTCAACGTTATGATTTTGCCCTTACACATCCAGATTAGGATCAAGAGCGCGTAGAAGTTACGAACTTGTTGCCAGAGCTGTTACCGCTGAAAGTATGGAAGAGGAGTATATGGGTGTTGAGCTATCACAGAAGTCCCCAAGGGCCCAGACAAATGCAATCAACGGAAATTTCAATTCAAGGAATGCATGGAATCCAACGGAAACAGACAACAATGGAAGGGGAACATTTGGAAAGCTGACCTACAGTGAACAGTAATCAATGTAGTCAAAAAGCCAACATTTGAACATTCCATGACATCAGTCAACTATTACAAATGCTCCTGCTGCATATCAGTACAATTTGATCAAAGTTAACTCTGTGATTACTCAACCATTACTTGCCCATGAGTATCCTCACACCAATTTGATTGGACCTGTCTCCCTGTGATCTGGGTCTGGGTTTTTCTATCTCCCGCTGTTCTTGAACGGATGATCCATGGTTATCCACATACTGTGAGCCATCCGTTTGGTTCGACCTAATTTTCCACTTCACGGTTGGCTCTAGACCCCGCACCCTATCTAGTGTGAACCATGATTCTGGATGAACCGGTTTTAGCACGAGTCATTTGACGTGGGCTGAAGAGATAGGCGCTGGACACCGGCCAGTCAACTCCAGACGCATACGCACATCAAGTATATATGACCAACGGATTCCACCAGCCGAACCGAGGATCCATGTACCATATTCGGTTAGGGAAAGTTTATTGCCATTTGGCTTACACGATAGACGTAGCCCTTCATGACTCGAGGATAAATTCGCACTTCGGCTGGAGAGAACTATGATAGCATTACAAGACAGCACTTCCCCAAAGCGGTAGTTGTCAAATTGTGGTCCGCCGACGATGAACCACAAACTTTGTCCCCGAATGTATGGGAGCTGAGTACCTGGAATATCACTAAGGAAATAGGGTTGATGGCACCGGGCTAGAAGAAGCCGAAAGAGGCGTTACATTCTTGCAACGAGTGCGAGAGGCAATCATCCTAGTATTTAACAGGAATTCCCAGAGGAATCCCAGAATTTTTTTTTTTCCTATTTACTATTGACTCTTCACAACCTCAAAGCTCTACTATACTAGACAGACACACAGAGATACTCAATGTCAGGGGAAGTGATTACTCCGAGCAGCCCTCAGGAGTACCCAACATTCGACAAAGTGCTAAATGACGTTGCACCGTACCCGTACACTCTGAAGTCTTTCAAAGCCTATCTGTCACAAAACCATTGTTCTGAATCCCTAGAATTTCTCGAAGGAATGAAACAATACAAGCAGGCGTATCGCTCTGCCCTTAACCTAGATGGCTCATCTTCGTCATCTCGTTCGTCCATGTTGCCGCGCTTGCTCCTGACCTGGAGAAACCTATTATCTGTCTACATCCTCCCTGGGTCCTTGCATGAATTAAATATATCGACTGAAGAGCGAAACGCCCTTCTCAAATATACCGACATATCATCCCCACCATCACCATGTGTGATCGACGAAGCAGTCGGAAAGATAGCCCAGTCATTAGAGTCATCCATCTTCCTGCCCTACTTGAGTAGTCGTGCAGCTTTAGTCCTAGCCATGGACCCGCATTTCGAACAGCCTAATTCGGATGCAGTGAGCGAAAAGCCATCAGTGTCAATGTCAGAGCAGGCAATAAGCGATATAACATTCGAAAGCTCAATGAATCCTCAATCTGGCAAAGGTCGCAGAGGTGATAAGAGCCTAGTGTTTACGAAATTGGTAGTCTTCGTTCACCAATCGAAGAAGTTCGTACGGCCACGTCAACGTCTGCTACGGGCTTCCTCTGGGACGCATCAGAGGGACACATAAACGCTTCTTTGACAATTTGTCATCGAGCTCGGCAATGTGAATTTTCAACATTTTCAACAAGTGATTTGATTTCTCAGCGGTGAGCATATGGTGTTCATGGTCCATGGGACGGCGTTATTAATAAACCATGAATATGTATCTAAATGAGCATCCTCGCAAAGAGCATGATAGAAACAGTTAATTTAAGATCTCTGATTCAATTCCCAAGAAGACCTAAGTCATTTTTTTAGGCAGGTACCCGCGCATATATCTACATATACTCCATGCATCTTTCTATCACAGAGCCCAATCGGCAAGCGGACGGGTGAGGCAAGGTCAAGGCGATTCGGTAAAACAGATAAACGACGCTCCCATATAAGCCTTCTCTAAAAGTTCCATTATGTAATTCTTACTTTATTCCCTCAGCAACCAAGCCTAGTCATCTCATTCCCCCCCCGTTATCTCAGTTGCTTTGTGCTTAACACCGCCCTCTTCAGAGTACTTGATCGCATCTCCTTCCTGATCCGGCGCTGTATCTATATGTCCAGTTACTGGCGTTCCATGGAACGAGCACACCGGGATTTGATGGCGGTCCAGGACTGGCTGCGAAAGGATTTAATATTACATTTCAGTCCGTGGCAGTCATTCGAGGAGTGTTTGGCGTGACGAGGATCCTTCTCAAAAGAGGGTTTTGTGGAATAGGTTAGTTTAACAACAACTGGATATTTAGAGAACGGACTGTTTTGCACTATTCTTACAGGAATATAGGTTTTAAGGGGAAAGGTGTAGCAAAGCTTAGTATGGATTCTTTGTCGCTATTGACCCTAACGAACAGGGTTGAACCATGCGCTTCTCATGTCAGATTTTAGGGTATAATGCAGGTGAGATTGTAAAGAAAGGAGGAAGCCCTAGCTGATTTCAATCGATGATTAAGTGCTATTGGCTTTAACCTTACTGGAAGTTAGAGCTGCCTCAGTGGCAACACTTAGGCCCTTAAATGCTGGATAATCCAGGCTACCATCATCACGAATATTTACCACCTCCCCATCCTTAAACAAATGTCTCAACCCAACCAATACTGATTTCAGTGTGAGTGCCAATGGTAAACTGCCCCTCCTCCGCTGTGCTTGAAACTCGGGATCCAATGCCCCCTTATAAAAAGCCTTTCATGTCGCGAAACAGAAACTCTCGAGTCGAGCATCGTAAGTCCCGGTCAACCAAGTGGTTCCTGTGTGTAACATGGATCTCCGCCGTGATACTAGCTACATACGGAATGGAAGCTATCCAACAAAGTAGCATCCATACTTAAATAAGGTCTACCGGTTTGTTATCTTTGCGCGGCCTTGGAAAGCTTGGCGGCGCTATACCAAATCCCAGTGATGCTTGAGTCACGTGGACGCAGCGCCCAACCTATTACAGAGCAGATTCTGGGCCTCTGTGGACCTTGGATCTTATCGGGAACCAATTCGGTCTCGGCTCATGCAATTCTATCGATGATTGGATGAATCTATTTAATTTGTTTAAATTATTTTGTATTATTCAAGTATTGTCACTGTCATTGTCGCGACACATTTTACGGAATCATTCAATCATTAGAGCACTTACCTTGGGGCACTATATGGAGCTAATTTTCACGAGAATCATGATTATTTTCTTCCTACTATCTAGAGTTAATCTTATCACTAATACCTAAACGCTTGCCGGCTGGATCATCCCACTGGCCGGTCCAATCAGGACCGCCAGCCGGAACCCCCAGCCAACAATTTATATTGATTATTTATTTCCGCTCCGGGTTCAAGAATAATTGATTTATTGTCGATACAAATAAGCAACAGGAGGCTCCAAATCATAAGAAAGATGACCTCCGAATCATGAATCTCGGCCACCTAGTAGGCCCCGTATAAGACTCGTCGATAGATTAAGCTTTATAGAAGGAGAGAGCCCAAGTAACTTAAGCTGCCAGAGCGAGGGGGACGTCATAGCTTGAGGCCCTCATTATGCACCTATACAGCATGTTATTTGAGGCAAATGATACAACCTATAACAAGCCGTCTCCTAGCTCTGATCTTTCATGCTCCGATAGATCCTAGACTTGCCAGCCTATATGCGACATATAGTACGCCAATAATCATCGAAGTATTTGAAATATTGGACAACCTTCTGGGTAGTCGGCTCGCCACTTGTCCTTGGACCATCTTGGAATCTATCCTACTTCTTGAGGACTTTCCTGCTATTACGCCGGGGATCCGAGTTGTGCTATAGGGCCTTGGAAAGCGCCTTTCTTTTCGAACCTAATTCACCCTATGAAATCTCCATCCTCTATTGCGTGATTCAATTCACCATGAAGCTACGCAGTGGATGTGCCATTAGCCCCTGCTATTCCATTTGGAATCGTCGGAATCGGTATTGGGCCTCCTGGAGAATTTTCCGTCCGCGCAGTCAGGACCTCAACACCCGTTTCTGTGACCAGTAAGGTGTGTTCTATACATACGTTAGTTAGCAATGTGCCCTACACGCCAAATGCATTCTGGACCCACCAAATTGCGCAGTCCACTTCCCATCAACAGTCACGTTGGTCCAGTCATCCGGCCAATAAATCTCCTTCGGCTTTCCAAGTGTAAGGATAGGCTCGATGGTGAAAGTCATTCCGGGCTTGCATACGCCGACCGCCTTATTCTTGCCATAATGAGGGATCCACGGCGGGGGATGGAATTCAGTGTTGATGCCATGACCCCCCCAGGTCGTCATGATACTACAGTTACGGGACTTGGCATGCTTCTCAATGACCTTGCCGAACTCACGGATTGGCGTGCCGGGTTTCACAAGCTCGATCGCCTTATCCAAGCATTCCCGCGTCGTTTCGACAACTCGGACCGAGTCCGGGTCCGCCTTGGCTCGATCGCCTATGTAATACGTTTCGTTGACATCGGCGTGATAGCCCCCATGATATATCGAGATGTCGAGGTTGAGGATATCGCCATCAAGAAGGACGCGCTGGTCGGGGATTCCGTGGCAAACCACCTCGTTCGGCGACGTACATAGCGACTTAGGAAAGTGATTATAGTTCAAGGGAGACGGATATGACTGTCCCAGGTTAGATGGAGCCAACATCATATCATCTGGAAGGGAGTCGCGCCTACATCCCGTTCTATGCAAGCGTTGTGGCAGACCTCGTCCAGGTAATCGGTCGTAATGCCGGGCCTGAGCTCGGCGGCGGTGACATCCAGTACTTCTCGCGCTAAGCGGCACACTTTGCGCATCGCCTCCTGGCCCTTCGCATCGAGGAGGTCGATTTTCGTCCGACTCAGCCGCCGTTCGCCCTTCGGGATGCCCGTCACGGCCCAGTCCGGGTGTTTGATCGACTTGGGGACGGTGCGCTTCGCAGAGAGTGGGTAGACCGGTCGGACCGAGCCGGTGAAGGTGTATGTCGGGAACGGATTGTAGGGTCCGGTAACTGGATCGCGATTAGGGACGATCACTCGAGGGATTGATTTTGGGGAGGAGACGATACCATTTTGAGACTTGTGTAGGGTCTTATGTTGGTTCTACACCACGTGATCTGTCAGTCCGGGAGTTCCAGAAGGAGTGGACGTAAAGCAAACAAGTAAACCGACCCAGTTCTTCTTGAAACAATCTTGGGAGCAGAAATAGCTGTCGGTTAAACCGAGCTTCAGACACGTCGGACACTGTAATATTCCCGCATTGTTTCCGCAGTCTGCGCCTTGACACTTTCTCTGCGATGGGTTGTTGGCCATGACAAGGCTGGGGATATTTGGATGCTGCGACAACACCAGAGAGAAGGAAACCTTCAAAGAAATGTCTTTTGACGTCTTCTCTCTACTTTGACCAGTATTGTGTCAGTCCAAGCACAGAAGTGGAGTGTAAGAAGTCAGGGCTACGTGAAATTCGTATTCGTTACGTGGCATTTGTTTTCTGCGAACAAGGGTTTTTGCCCCGCCCTTTAGACTACTATTTTCTTAGCGTGGATCTGGAAATTACCATATCAAGGGTTGTGAGATAGCTGGTTGAACCATATCTAGTACAATGGCTATCATGAAATGATAGGTATCGTTATGAATTAACGATTGTGGAGAATGAGCACAAGGAATTCATGTTTTCATTCCCCATTCTGTGGTATTTTTCAACATATCCAACGAATACCCAGTCGGCAACGCATCGTTGTTCTACAAATATAAAAGTCTCGTAGTAATAACTGGTAGTAGTATACTGCATCAGCTGCTACCTACAAAGGGGGTGTTTGGCAGTTTAACATCATCACCAGTCTCTGCCTTTAGAAATAGCATTGAAACTACATGTTTTCCTAGGATTTGTGGACAAATGGGAATATCTTCGACATTCGTCTACCTAGCCTGATATTTAATATTCCATTTACCAGGTAGACCTTTAAAAGGTAGTATAAACATATACAGCACCCCCTCCCCCCGGCAATGTACAGGTCCCAGGAGTAGTTATTTATCATTTCTGACCATAGCGACCATAGTGACCATAGGAGCTTCTTTTAATCGCCCACACCACTGGTGTTATTGCTGATATTTATTTAATCCCCTGCCTAGACAGCCCACGCAATGGTCCATGCAGCGAAAATCCCCTACCCTTTACCCTACATACCTAACCTCATGCCTAATACGCTCCTGTGGTAGCCAAGCAGTAGTGGGCATAACAAGCCAAGTAACGAGGGCAAATATCGTCACAATTCCCATGATTATCGGTGCATCTACAGCCATCAGCAAATTAACTCTTCGGGAACTTATACCCTAACCCGAATAAAAATTACACTCACAATTCAATGTAGAAGCTGTGACAGGAAACTCATATGGCGAGAAAAGCACCGCAACAACCCAGCCATTCCATATAACCGCAATGAACTGAAACGGCTTGCTTAGCCGTCCGAGAGACCACTTCGCCTCGAGAGGTTCTGATGGCGTTAATACCAGTCTGCCTAGGCTGACGAGACCGTAGGCTGCGGCTGATGGTACACCAGCAGCTGAGACCAACGATGTGAATGCCACGGCAGAGGGCAGAATAGTGCACGTGACAATTGCGGAGACGCCCCAGACGACGAGAATGGCATTGCAAGGCTGTCCGTCTTCAGATACTCGGGAGACCCATTGGGCGAAGGGGAGTACTCCATCACGAGCTACAGCGAATACGAGGCGAGAGGCCGCTGTTATTGTTATCGCGGTGTTCTAGTACTATTGTCAGCTCCAGACTGGAGTGAAGAAGATATTGAGAACGGATGACGATTGGTGGAAAGAGGGAAATACCAGCCGTAATGCCAGGACAGCAAGAACGTTCATAACAATATGTCCGCCACGGCCAAGTACCGCGGCGTATAGGGGCACAAATGGCTGCGGGGCATCGTATGAAAACAGAATATCAATTGGGGACTGAGAGCTTCATTAGTGCCGTCTATACACTTAACCATTTGATTTGGCCTTGGCCTCACTGATGTGAACAAGAAGAGGATCACTGCGGCAAACCCAAACACACCACTAACAACCGTACTCCAGAAAATCCCTTTAGCCGCGTTAACAGAGGCATCTTTAGTTTCCTCGGCGACGTGACCGGAAGCATCAAATCCAACTAGGATACCAGCTGTTGCTAGATAGGAAAGACACCAGTTCCAGCCTGCCGGCGCTTCCTGTACCGTTATACGTAGTCATGAAAGCTTCCTGCGCTGTTCGTAGGCCATAGGTACTATGTGCGCCGACAGGAAGCCAGATTAAATTCAGGATGAAGTCTAAGAATACAGCTCCCGTAGAGAGCCAGAAGACGTATCTGAAGATGCGGGCTGTGCTAAGGATTAGCCTGCGTTGAAGCGATGATATCAGGATTCATATGGAGCTGGTGATCATTGTGTATGGAATGAATATCATGCTACTACTGCGTACGTACGTGAGGCAAGGTTTATCCAGGCCGCCAACCCCAGAAGGACCTCCGTGCAAATCCATTGAACAGCGCGGAAGTTCACGCTTGATGCGTCGGTAGGGAAGTTGACCTTGAAAACGCTCAATTCCTAAGGATTTCCCATTAGATGTTCTATTCTCTTGTATGCAGTCAAAGATGTGTGGATAGAAATACCGATAACATATAGTTCACGGCAGTTTGCGTGTTGCCTGCCATTGACGGTTAGTTTTTATAGTGACGAAGGGGCTTCTCACCCACTCGCGCAAAATGTCGTTCAAGCAGTCGTGCTCCACCAGGCAACAATAAAACCAAAGAGTCGACCGAATCTAGGACCTCCTGCCTCTGTCGCCCAGAGATAAATGGAGCCTGCTGAAGACGCTGCTGAACATACCTCCGCAATGACCGCCGCTGTAATAAATGTGAAAACGCAGGTGATGGCATAGCTCGTTCTTGTTCAATTAGTATTTTCCCCTTCCGTTCTTGTGAAGTCAATAAAGGCAGCAAGAATTTTACCAGTATGCAAGGGGGCCCCCAGCTGCAATTCCAGTTGAAAATGTCACTCGAACACCACCGATGAAATACAACGCCGCTACATATATTTAGCAATGTCCGACAGTGGCACATTCAGATGGAGGACAGTGGGGGTACCGAAGGAAGTAGAGAAATTCTCAAACAGCGAATAGCTACGACGGTGTACCTAAGCGAGCAGCCGCAAGGATCAGAAACATAGCATTTGGAGCGATGGGTCTATGTTCGTTTCATACCTGTTTATATCCAAGACGCTCCTATGTAGATCAGCCTGTATCAGTCTCACACATCTTGATGTCCACTCAATTGGGGGGGGGGCAATACCAATGCAATCTCGTCGCTGTTATGTCTCTACAATCTTAGAGACTGGAGAACTTCCGCTGTCAACCGACATGACTTGAACCGTTTTGCTTTTATACAAGAAGAAGGTGCTAATAGAAGCTGAAATGGAAAGGATGTAGAAGAAAACCAACGAATGCAAAGGAAAGAATTAGTCCCCTAGCGAACTTCTGGGGGAATTCTAGTTCCTACGCTCACGTCCACTACCAAAATGGGAAAACTGATCTCGGATATCGGCACCCAATATCTGCAAAAAAACCTAATTTCGACAAGAACATGCTTGACTGGTTAAGCTTGATATTGTTGAAGAAATATATCCGAGATGAAACCCTGCTAGTCGAACTAGCTCTGGCGTAATACTGTTAACATCATGGGTGATAATGACGCGATCACCTAGCATATTATCCATAGTTATACGAACCACTTAGCGGCCACAATTTGCTCTCCTTGTCCTAGAAAGGAGCTTGCTACCGTTTATGTATCATTATTTATCCCGTATATAGTAGTTCTGGAACCCCCGCATATGCCTTCCTGGCGAACGTCTGCGAAACTTCCTGGTGAATTAGAGCCATGTCATTCCTAATCTGGGCCTTGCTACTCGCGTTGTTTGCCGTACCCTACGTATGTGTAGCTTTGCATAATCCCAGTAAATTTCGGAATCGAACAACAGCAGACATATGCTGACATTTTCAAGATTGTTTACAGCTATTTTCTTTCCCCGCTGTCATCTATCCCCAACGCGGGCATTTTCGCTCCGCTTTCACGATTACTGTGGGAATTCCCTACTGAATATAAAGGGAAAGTAACCCTAGACTTACCAAAGTTGCACAAGAGATATGGTAACTCAACAGACTAAATATCATGACGGCTCGGCTTTATCTAACAGTGCAATAAGGGCCTCTAATCCGCATTGGACCGAAACAAATATCCTTCTATTCTCTCGATATATATAAAACAATTCATGCCCCTGGTAGTCCGTTTGTGAAGGACCCACGGGTGTACAGTCAGTTTGTGCAAGATGGCCATCCTGCATTGTTTTCTATAACGTACGTGTAGCTACATGATCAAGTTCCCACCGTTTGGTAGAGCATTCAACAACGCAAAACATGGCCGACTAACACGTATTGAAGGGATCCGAAAGAACATGCCCAACGTCGACGCCATATGGGCATCCTCTTCAACCGAAGCAAAGTACCTGCATTAACTCAAATGATGTTAGAGGAGATAGCAAGGTTTCAAGCCTTGCTCAAAGTGCTGGGAAAGCAAGGCGTAGTCGATTTGATCCCCACCTGTCGCTCGTTAGAATCGGATATTGTTTGTACGTAGTTCGAACGTTCTTTATCTTCATTTACTAACGTGGAATCGATAGCGAGGTTTGCGTTTGGGAGCGCTATTGGTGCCATAGACTCTCTACAGCAGGGCCAACAGCTTCCTATAATCAAGGAGAATGATCTGAAGTCGTCTAAAATGCCGGTGGTAAGAGACCTAGTTTTCTGACCCAGAACTTGAGATTTAAATACTCATCAAGCATATAGTACACAACATTCCCATCCCTAGTCAGTATGTGGCACAACTTCGCCAGTGTTGTATTCCGACTGCTTGGCTTTGAGATATCGTCAATATCTAGTATCGAAAATTTCGAGACGGTATGTTCTACGTGTTACAACAACCATCTGTTGACATCAGCAAATCTTTCGGACTAATGTATTTGCAGTGGGCAAAAGAACAGCTCACAGCCACTCTAGACACAGAAAAAGGACCAGACCTGTCATTCCTCAAGGTCATGGCTGGAAGTAGAATATCGGAACAATCTGCACTGTCCGAAGCGAAGGAGATGCTGGGACCTGGTACCGACACAACATCAGCCACTCTGGCCCATATCCTGTGGGCTTTATCCCTTAACCAATCTCTGCAAGAGGAGCTAGTTTCCGATTTGCGGGCTGCAGGATGGCCAACTGACATGACAACACTAGAATCAATCTCAAAACTAACAGCTTGTGTAAAAGAGGGTATCCGATGGACTGGGGCAGCAGCTGCTATGCTTCCTAGGATCGTTCCTAAGGGAGGCTATATGCTTGCAGGGAAGCACATCCCAGGGGGTGTAAGTTTCTTAAGCTCCAGATGATGGTACTCTTCTGGCATTATTTCTCACTGGTTGATTCTCAGACCATGGTTTCCAGTTCTCCAATCTGGTATCTACGGGATGAAGCAGCATTCCCAGGCCCCGACCGATACCGGCCCAGCAGGTGGTATGCCAACGAAGACGGCCAGTTAGCCCCTCTCCGCGATGACTATTATATCCCGTTTTCCAAAGGACCATCGACTTGCATAGGGATTCAGTGAGTAATTCTTTGCTAGGGATATGATTCTTACTGACAAACCGACCTGGGAAAAGCTTTGCATACCTTGAACTCTACCTATCCCTGTCACAGACGCTAAAAAGATATCGTGTCAGACGTGCGTATGGGCTAGGTGTCTCGCTTGATATTGAGGCAACTCTTCCGCATCGCCGGGAATGGGTGGCTGCCGTGCCCACGGGCCCATTGAATGTTGTTTTTGAAGAAAGAGAGAATTAGTACCGAGGGAATAATGAGTGGAGCCCAGCAAGGGATTAGAAATCCCTCTATACAGTGCTGGCTGTGTAGGCAAAATGGGAAACATATAGGTCACTTGCTGTAGACATAGGGGAGCCGAAAATGACATACACAAATCTACTATTGCCTTTAATTATTCGACATTATCCTTCACCATTACCCTACTCTACCTAAGGGGAGCACTCATCTACAATGAGGGGAGAAAATCCTCGCAATTCTTGTTGTGACGACCCAGAGAGCGGAATACCTACTACCGGGAAACCTGTTGGAAGCAAGCGATGCTCGGTAACAGTTTTCTTTGCCGATGAAACGGTACAATCAGTGGAAAATGTGAAGTTAACCTATTATGACGGCGAATATGGCATTGATAATCTGATTTCTCATTTCTGTCCCAGTTATTGATCATTGCTCGGCAAACCTTCACTATCCCAATACAACAACGGGCAAAATAGAATATGGCCGACCACGAAGGTGTTCACTACAACTTGATCCATAAAGCCCACGCGGTCTTCATTCTGACTCTTCATTTCATATAATATACGTCCATTTTAATGACTTTGCACTGTGACTACCAAGCAAACACCACAATCGACACAATGGGCAACGCCAGTATACTAGACCGACTAGCAGCGCTCGACACCAACACCGTGTCCGATGCACTAGACTTCCTCCACCTCAAAGGAGCCACATACGGCCTCCGCCCCTCTGAGATTGCCCAAAAATCGTTGGGCGCGCAAGCACGGTGAAGCTGGGTCCCATGACTGACGCAGCCCCAACAACCCATCTCCTCGCTCCAGTCATAGACGCGGTAACGACAGAAGACCGCATCCTCGCCATCTCTGGCGGTATAGATGGCGTCTCATGCTGGGGCGACATCATCGCCAATGCCTCCAAAGTGAAGCACATTCGCGGAACGATCATCGATGGCATGAGTCGCGACATCGACGGCAGCCGGAAAGTAGGCTATCCGGTCTACGGCCGCAGCCTGACCATGGTCAGCGCGCGCAACCGAATGGTGCAAGTCGAATCCGGTACACCGCTGGAGATGCGTGGTCAACCAAGACGACTATGTTATTGCAGACAACTGCGGGACGGTGTTCATCCCGGCGGAGCGCATCGAGGAAGTCCTGAATCTGGGCGAACGCATTAATCGACGTCAGACTCTCATAGTCCGGGAGGGTAAGCCCGTATCGGAGGTGATGCACGACACGCAGTTCGAAGACATCAACAAGAGTACATCGTCACCAGCAACCGCGCCAGCCTCGCCACGAAAACCCAAACCCGCTAGTCCCAAGGTTGAAGAATTAGTGGCGCTGTTCGCCGACTGCGATACCCCTGGCGTCTCAGACGCTCTTGATAAGCTCGGTATCCCTGGCTAGGCGTTCGGGATTATGCCCTTGGCCGATTACAAAAAGGTGACCGTCGGACCGGCGTTCACTGTCCGTTACGTACCAACCAGCAACCCGCCCGGAAGTGTGGGTGATTTCAGAGACGACGTTGCGGTAGGTGATGTTGTCGTCATCGACAACGGGGGTCGCACTGATTGCACCGTTTGGGGCGATATTATGACTGAGTACGCCGGCGTGCGAGGCATTGGTGGCACTGTGATCGACGGAGTGTGCCGCGATGTGAACCGGGCACTCAATGACGAATACCCACTTTTCACTGCTGGGCGTTGGATGCGAACCGGCAAGAATCGGGTTCAGGTGGGAGGCGTCAATGAGTCAATCGGCATTGGCAAAGTACATGTACAACCTCGAGATATTGTGGTGGCCGATGCCAATGGCGTTGTTATTGTTCCGCGGGATCGAGCCCGTGAAGTGGCTGAAGTTGCACGACAGATCGAGAAGAGCGAAGCTGCCATTCGGGGATTGATCGCTGAGCGGGCCTCAATCGCTGAGGCGCGAGACCAGCTCGGTTATCACACGCTGCAGCGCAAGGCGTAGGAGAAAGGAGGCGACATGATATTGGGTTGCACTTTCAATTCATCAATAAGATGCTAACATTGTTATTCTAGACTGCAAAAACTTCATGGCCTAAAATATGCTTACCAAGAAACAATATCTTAGGTCGGGAATTATGTATCATCTTTTATTTTACACCACTCGAATATTAACTTAGCGCCACCGTATCGAATACTTTCAGATGTTCCTTGGAGGAAGCCCCATCGTTTGATAGTCGACCGACCCATATGCCATGCTTTCGGGCTGCTGCCACGATCTTTTCAATGGCATTGACAAACTCGGCTCACTCCCTTTCGCGGGAACGTACCCAAGGATTGACAAGGCAAGGTAGTTGGGCCCAATGAAAACCATATCTTGACTGAGATTAGCGAAATGGCACCGGGGATTTGCGGTATCAATAACGAACCGACACCAGGTACAGCACAAATAGAGTCAACGTTCTCGACGCCCACCTTCGATTCGATTTGCAAGCAGATGATAAGCGTTTCGTTTGCTGTCTCCAAGTATGTCGGGATGTCGATACCGTGAGCGATGGCGGAAACGCTGAGCCTTGTCCTCGAAGACCTTGTGGAGGAAATTTTGAATGAGAGACCACGGCCTTGTCCTCTTCGGCCGTGTTGATTTGAGGCACAACGATGCCGCTGGCCAACGCTTTAGTACTGTCATGACAAGATTTATGTTGCTTTGCTTACTGTGCACCGGCATCTAAAGCTCTTTTAATCAAATCCGCGTGAGTCATTCTCTAACGAATAGGTGGCGATACTGCTAAAGAAGCGATAGCGGCAGTTGAGCTGTGCATGAATCGTCGCTGATATGCCCATGTTCACAATCAATAATGATGCCCTTTACAGTCATTAGTGGGAGATAAGCTATAAAACGCGGAGAAATTCTAACATCGAAACCAGTCTGAGCTACAACCTGGGTCGAGCGAAAAGACGGGAGCCCCAGAAAGGTCATTATAAGTTTCGTGCCGGCTCGGAGAGCATTGAGCAGATGTAGCCGTGGGTTATTAATTGATGCTGTGATGGCTGATGTGTATACCATGGTGCAATGAGAGAGTAGTTATCAAGTCAACAAACGGAGTAAAATTGTTGTTATGAAGGCAAGTCTAAGAGACAGCTTTGCAATACAAGGACACGCGCAGCGAAGCAATGGCACAAAATGCAATGAGATCTATGTAGTGTTGTTTGGAGATGGCCGCAAGAGGCAGTGGGACAGCAACCGAGTGAAACTGGGCTAAGCCAAACATCAAGCAAAGCTGCGGAATCTTTGAAAAACGGCCAAATCTCAGGTCACCGTGAAGGGTTGTGGTTGAAGTACAAGGTAAGTGGACTTTTCCCGAACCCGACAATGATTATTATCAAGAACGATCATTACAGGAATATTTGCACTTTAGAGTATTACTAGTTGTCTAGAGTTGATGCTCTACGTTTATTTTCCACCCGTAATTCAAATGTTTCGTTGGCTCGATATCGACTCATAAAGCTTCAACACAAAGGATTCCCGACGATGCGATTCCATTATCGGTATGCTTTTCGATATCATGGAAGTTACACTCTCGATAGCTTTATTTTTACCTTGATCCCTTTCTAACAAAGCTCATCCATGATATAAAAGTCTCCTCTAGTCTTTAACAGACACCAAACTGGTCCGAAATACCATTCTTTGCATCATTACACCCCCATACCCAACCGTTAAGCCGGTCTCATTCCAGCCTACTTCGCATCCTCTGGATCAAACGCGGAGACCTCAGTCTCAACTCTCATAGCATTATGCCTCAAACGATCAATATGCACACACGTCTAGACAGAGTGGCTTTCAGGCGTCTACTTCTTGAGGTTGCGAACCATAGCATCTTGGGCCTCCTGGTCCAATTGAATATGGTAGGAGTTTATTCTGTAGGCCTGGGGCCAGCCCTTGGAGCCCGCGCCTTTGAGAGCAGTATCGACGTTCACAAACGCCTGTTCGATCTGCTCAAGGACCAGCTTGGAAATGTTGTAGGTTGCATCTTAGAAGCCCCCTTTTTCACTGTTAGTGTGTGTACGGTAGTGTGAATGGTGGAGATATTGAGAGTCAATACCTTGTCCTGCGCGGTGAATTTGGTCGCCGGCTCGAACGGCAGATGAGTACTAGTAGCTCTGGCGGTTGGCTTCGCCGAAGCCTTAGTAGGCTTATTGTCTCATGGCTACCATTATCGCGGTTGAGTGGGAGATATAGTGGAAATGGGAGATTAGGGGATGTCAAGAGAACGTTGAGATCTGGATCTAATTATCCTTGCTCCACAAGGGAAGACCAATTTTGGAAACTGCGAGGTTTATATAGGCATTGTCGTCGTTGATACACATAGTAGCAGAGGAGCCCTGCATAGAGCGTAAATACGGAATATAAATTCAGCCTCCCGGGGTCCGGGCCACTCCCCACTTTTACTAGTATAGCTCACTCTCTGATTCCGTCGTCGGGTAAATTCGTTGTGTACTGACATGAGCTGCTAAGGATCGTGGCATAATTTTCTTTTATTTGGGCTATACACACCAATTACAACCTATACTATACGGTGTCGCTCCGGGTGTTAGCTACAGGCTAGGAGTACCCAATTGCGGTATCAATCGGGGTAGTAGACCTTCCCGTTCTATCCTCGAAGATACATAAGTTTAGCCAGCATGAATGAGAGAGAAAAGTATACTTTTGGGGGAGAAATAGACAAACGGAGATGACTTTCAATATGATTGAACCATAAATACAAATCGAACATATATAACAATAGGTGGAGGATGGATTCTGGGTTCTCCCTTATCTAGGGTACGGAAACGGGTGCCTTTCAGTGGCGAATTATCATAGGTCATGACTTTATCAGATCACCAACTAAATTAAATATTGTGTTGACATGGCCAGGAGTCAAATAACACACGTTGGGTGCACAGCGGGCCACTGAGATATTTCCCATTCATAGTCCACGGGATCTATATTCCGCTCTCCTGTTTTGATATCATTGACCTTGTCAAACCCTAACTCAATACTCTATATAGTGATAAATATTCCAACATGTCAGAGACGAGGTAGCCAAGGCTTTGAGGGTGAGAAACCTTGTGTTTTATAGCACCGTTAGGGAATATGTCATATTCTAACTGCGCCCAACTAGTACCTACCTCCGGATATATTTTTAAGGTTGATCATAAGAACTACCATGGATCAGCTCAGGCTCAATGATTCTAACTATGAGATGATATCAGAGCCCCTAATGATATGTATCACTTTACTTCCTCTTGGTTAGAGACTCCATGTAAGTATACAAGCTTAGATGAAAACAGTGGAGACTCTGGGTAAGATTTGGTCCCGGACAAATGAATTCCCGACCCACTGAAAAATGAGGTACTAAGGCAACACTGCTGCCTCAGGTTTAGTATCAGGCAGGTGTTTCAGGCAGGCGTTTCAGGCAGGCGGTCAGGGGGATATAAGATAGATGAGTCATCTTGGGTAATGAGTGGATCCCGTTGGATTAAAATCCAACGATCATCCCACTAAACTCTCTCTCTCTCTCTTTCGCTTCCCCCGCTTGCAAGACACCGTGTGTTGACAGCCGACCGACACCTTTCGCAATGGACGCCGCTGCGAAGGCACGTTTCGACCTCATTGGCGAGAACCTCGCCGAGATTCTCAATCCTGAATTGCTCGAATCCATTTTGGCCGAGGGACGCAATCCCCGCGTTTATTGGGGTAATTAATGTGCCGGACCCCCCCAATCGCGATGTTAGCTAATACCCCTCTTTCTATAGGCACTGCGACCACTTCGAGTCCTCATACAGGATACTTCCTCCCTGCGTTAAAGATCGCCCAGCTGCTGGCTGCAGGATGCGATGTCGTCGTCCTTCTGGCCGATATCCACGGCTTTCTTGACAATCTAAAGGCGCCGCTAGACCTAGTGGAGAACCGTGCGAAATACTACTCGAAGATCATTACCGCGATCCTGGAGTCGGTCGGTGTCCAGACCGACAAGCTGGAATTTGTCCTCGGTAGTTCTTACCAGAAGAATGCCGACTACGTCATGGACCTCTACCGGCTGTCGTCGTTGGTTTCAGAGCATGATGCCAAGAAGGCTGGAGCAGAGGTTGTAAAACAGTCCAACAACAGTCCATTGAGTGGATTGATGTACCCTCTGCTTCAGTGCCTTGATGAGGAGTACTTGAAGTGTGACGCTCAGCTGGGAGGCGTCGACCAAAGGAAATTGTTTGTGGCTGCAACCGAGTGGCTTCCCAAGATTGGCTATCGCAAGCGCGCGCATTTAATCAACCCAATGATCGCTGGTCTGAATGGTGGCAAGATGAGCTCTAGTGTCCAAGGTATTCCTCCCTTTCTCTCTCGCCCCAGGCAGGCTCTGCGACACGACTAATACCTTCTTAGACAGCAAGATTGATCTTCTGGACACCCCCGAGGCCATCACGAAGAAGATCCGTAAAGCGGAAGCGGCGCCTCGCGTCATTGAAGAGAATGGTGTTCTGTCAATGGTGGAATATATTTTACTGCCAGCAGCTGGTCTGAAGGGTCGTAAAGAGTTCCGCGTTGAGCGCAAAGATGAAGAGCCCCTGATCTACACTGATATTAAGCAGCTACATGAAGATTACAAGAATGATATCGTGGGTTTCTCAACTGTCGCTGTGCCGAGCCTTACATTTACTGACTTTGATGGACTCTAGTTAACGCCACAGGTGCTCAAGCCTGCCGTCGCGGCCGCCTTGGTCGAGCTTATGGCTCCTATCCGGGCAGCCTATGAGGGTTCTGCTGAGTGGCAGGAGATCACACTGAAGGCCTACCCGCCTCCGGAGAAGAAACAGAAGAAGGTCAAAGATAAGGGATCCCGCTACCCTGGTGCCCAGAATCAATAGAAGCTCTTTTCTTGCTCTCCTGTTACGTCTAGCAGCCTCTTGATAGAACTGCCACTTGGAGATACTTATAGATATGATCGGAACGGCTAGTACTTGTTTAAACTGGTGTTCACACTGGAGGGAAAAGCCCAAATATGAATCGGGTGGGGAAGGATCCTTTTTGTCTATGTTCACGACCATATCTCTCAGTGTAGTTGTTTTCTCTATTGCACCGTTCGTAGAGGCGATTGCATCCCTAGCTAGCTTCCTGTGTAGTACTGAACTCTATACAGTGATAGCAATATTTCGAGATGCAGGGCTTCGGAACCACGTGTGGAACTCCGCGGAGGCACTAACCCAATGCAGTAGAAAGACCCCACGAACATTCACAGAACGTCGTCTTGTTCATTGCCCATTCAGAAAGTGTCTCTTTATACCGACTAATCATGAAACGAACTCTTAGTGGATCCCCGGCAATGATGGTGCATCGGTGGAACCGACCTCCCTTATCGTGCAAACCCTGTCGCGAGAAGAAACGCCGCTGTGATCGCAACCAGCCATGTTCCAATTGCACGCAAAGGGATACCCAGTGCGAATATGCGGGACAAAGCCAACCTAACCCGGTATCTGGGGACCTCGAGCCTCCAGAGGGAACTAGGATTGACCACCGTCAGATGGCAGCGAGCCGGCCCGCTGCCTTTGGGAATGCACTGCCTGTACCTATCTCCTTGTGAGTTGGACGTAGCCAGCTATTCGTTGTTGTTACTGAATATGCCACCAAAGAAACGCCAAGGAGGTATTGCATCGCCTCCAGAAGCTAGAAGAGGCAGTTTTCCAGAAGCCAGTTGAGAACAACTTACAATCTGTGGCGCAGAGGTTAACATCAGATACAGTATGTTTTTTTTTTTTTTTTTTTTTTTTTGGCCTTGTATTAATCTAAAGAACGTATATGTCAAACTTCTGACCCCATAGACAAACAAGCCACCTCATGTAGGATTTACCCCATTAAGCGCACAAAAATTATCCTCAGCATGCGATAATGCCCCTCTAGACGCGTTGGCATTAGCTAGGCATCTCCCGCCCATAGAGGAAGCCACAGACTTATTCAATCATTTCGTGGCAACGGTTGGGTCAACATTTGGAGTACTTCATCTACCGTCTACCAGAGAGCTTATGGATCAGACATACCAATGCATATTGGCCGCCAGAGAGCCTGAAATCTCGCGGCTACTTTTACTTTTTGGCATTTTTGCAGGGTCAATGCTTTCCTGGACACCCCAGCTTTTAGACAAGCTGCATGCCACGCCAGCGGAGGCTAATGCAGCTTTCAAGGCATATGCGTCCCTCGCAGTATCTATAGTAGACCATCCTCGACCCATGGAGCCGTCGACTACTGCTCTTGCGGCCATGGAAACACTGTCTCATATAATAACCAACTACGATGGCTACCCTTTCAAGATTCATTTAATCCGCTTTCGCTGCCATTTGATGGCACGGGCAATGCAAATACATCGTCTGGACACCCCAAAGAGCCGCGAGGAAAGGAGACTCAACGGATGTAACATGATTGAGATTGAAGTCCAACGAAGAGTCTGGTGGAATATGGTAGCAACCGACTGGTGAGTCTACTCGATGACAGGGTAGGTGCTCACTGTCCGCTAACGAGCAAAGGCTCCATTCTTTCTCCGGAGGGCCACTCGAAGGAGCATACATGTTCCAACCAAAGCAAATGATGGTAGATTATCCGAGTAACGTCGATGATGAATACATTACACCGACAGGGATACTGCATGAGTTCCCCTTATCTAAACCATCCTCGATGTCCTCCTTTATCTACCGCGTGAAGTTGTCCACCCTCTGCCGTGAGGTGGTCGATACGATGCCCTCAATCTGGCTAGAAGCCCAAGAGCCAGACTACGAAACGATTTTGATGCTAGACAAAAAGTGTCAGAACTTTCTAGCTGAACTGCCCATCTTCTTCCAACTAGACCCCGCCAGCATCGCGCAAAGCCAAGAAATATGTAAAGACCGACCCTATATTCCCATACAACGAATAAGTATCCACTTTGGCCTCCACGCACGCCTATGCCGCCTTCACAGACCTTACCACCTTGAAGGTATGACAAACACAAAGTACGCCTATTCCCACCAAGTGTGTATCCAGTCTGCCCAGAAGGTGTTAGAGTTACGGCGTCTGATGGATGACGCAGGCGCGCAGGTCGGGCTGAAACCGGCGCGCTTCTGGACGGTCATGCAGCACGTCTTTCTAGCAGCGCTCACACTGGCTACGGACGTCTCATTTAACCCAAATGCGCCGGATGCAGAGGCTCGAAAGGCCAAGGTACTCGCTGCTTATCAAATTCTAGAAAGATCAAAGGAAGAGTCGGCTATGATTGTAGAGGCTATTCAGAAAAACATGCAGGTGCTCATGTCGACGCTCCAGAAGCAGCGAACACCTGCCATTGGCTCTCAATCGGGAGAGCCTCCTAGGTTAGGAACAGATACCCATGTCTCAGCCAGCGAGGCCGTGTCAAATAACTGGAACGGTCGAGGGCGTGATGGTATTTTTACGACCAATCAAACTGTAGATACGCTGTCCTTTGTTTCTCAAGATCCATTCCCCGCTGCCGATGGGCCTGTCTACAGTAACATTTCACATGAAGCATGTGTTGAGGAAGGGGATTGGGACCAGCTGTTGTCAAACTTTCTAGCGGTCGCTCCGGATCTGGATGTGCCACAGTGGCATTCCTTGTTGGATGATATCGACTTTACTTTCATTTCTTGAATCAAATACAAAAAGAACTAGTATTACCCCTACGTTGAGGAATAGTATAGACATTATAAGAAGGAGTAGTTCTCTTTACAAGAAAAAAAGGCAAGGAGCTTAAGAATCAAATTCAGCGGGCTAAGATTCAGATAGAAGGGCATGGAGTCCCATTCAACCCTGAAGCCACGTGATGGCTAGGAATATGGCTAGACAAAGGCCTAACCCTGAAGGCATATTACTACACCTGCCTACGCGAAGCCCGCAAGGCAGAGGCGCAGGTGCAAGCTCCCTGCCAAGGACAAGGCTTAGCACCAGGCCTAGTATAACACATTCAGGTGGCTGCTGTACAGGCAGTAGCTCTATACGGAGCAGAGCTCTGGTGGCAAGGTCAAAAGGACCGAGTTAGGGGTATCCAATATATGGTAAATCAGCAGGCACGCTTAATTACAGGGATGCTAAAAATCACCCTAATTGAGCCACTTATCAAAGAAGCAGCTCTGTACCCAGTAGAAGCCCTGCTAGAGAGGTACCGGAGGTAGTATATCCTAAGATTACTGGGATTGCCTAAGGGCTATCCAGCTCAGGCTATTCTACCGGTTAGCTTTTTAGCTTCCGCACGGGGGACTGCTACGCACAGCCCGGGGGACAATCTATAGATAGCCAGACATGGGCAGAAGGCCCTAAGGCACGTAGCCTATAGAACCTAGGCCAGTATCCTAAGGATAGGTCTCTCAGCAGGATTTAAAGAAGTAGTGGAGGCTTTTCCCAAGGTATTTCCAGGCACTATACTAGTGCCTGCAGAAGAAGCCCCCAAGCAGGCAATGGCTCCCTATAAAGGCCTGACAATATGATCAGATGGATCACAACTAGAGAATAGACAGACCGGTGCAGGCATTGCACGGTTAGAGCCCTCAGGCATGTAGAGGACCAAGCAGATACCGCTAGGGCAAGGAAAAGAGATATTTAATACAGAGCTAGCAGATGCCTGTAAAGTACGAGAAATAACTGAGCAGCTGGGATATAAAGACTCTATTAGAGTTCTATTAGATTCCCAAGCAGCTATAGCCCGGCTGTGAGATAACAGAACTGGCCCAGGGCAAAATTAGGCAATTCAGGCCCAAAATACAGCCGAAAGGCTTGAGATTCAAGGATGCAAAACCACTATTTAATAGGTCGCAGGCCATCAAGGGGTTCCAGGGAACGAGAAGGCAGATCAAGCTACTAAGGTAGCGGCAGGAAAGGCCCCAGAGATATACACAGGAGCCTCAGTCTAGCATATCTGCGCAAAACATGTACTGAGGCAAACCAAGCCCAGAGACAACAATGGCTTGTACAGGCCCTAAAGAAATGATCCTACGAGGCCTAACAGCGCTACTAACCCCAGAAAAGATAGAACTAGATCCAGTGGCAGGAGCAGCACTAAAACAGCTCGCTCGCTGATACTATCAGCTTAAGATTGGGCATGCAGCTATACTGACCTATCTGAATCAAATAGGGGTCCAAGTCTCACCTAGATGTCAAAGCTGCCAGGCTCCACAGGGAACAACAGGCCATCTACTGGTGGAATACAGACAATTGCGCCACCAGAGACAGGCTCTGTACAGGGCCCTAGTCAAGGCAGGAGTATCGCCACCCAGACAGGGGAAACAGCCCCTGCCTAGACACGTGTGTCTGTCATAGCCAACGGCTCGATACAGACGTTAAACTTGATTAATAATAATAAGAAGAAGAAGAAGGTGTAAACTTCTCGAAGTAAATTTATTAGGTAGGGCATGGTTTTAGCTACTGCTGGTATATATTTATTTTATCCTTTTACTCGATTTAGGCTACGGTAATATGGATCCATGTTTTGGGTGAGGCGTTTAGGATGCCTATAATTCCCTAAAGCTCTTTCCCAGCGCTCCAGGATACTAGGTTCCTTGGTGAAAAAGTGCATTAGCATCAGTTCAACAGTTTGGGTGGTGCGCTCCGATTGTCCATCTCTCTATCGGTGCCACGCGGTGTAGTTCCACTGTGCGCCTAACTGATAGAACATACCTTTCCAAAATTCGCTCGTGAATCGTGCGTCGCGGTCTCCAATCGGCTCCTTGAAGCACCTCAGTCAGTGCTCGACCCCCATGTCTGTGCATTCCATCTCGATGAGCTGGGAATGAAACCATATAACTTGGAGGCCAGTTACCGGATATCTCGTTCTTTGGTATCCCGGTCTTCGTTGATGATTCTTCCCCCTTGGACCCTCCCCCTCTCTGCAAAACCGAGTAAAGTTGCTTCCAGTAACCGTGTAACATTTGTAGTGCCATCGTTAGCTAAGACCGGCGTATTGCCTTTCTCCCGCATTATCCTTTCAGCCAATTGCGCCTTCCCGGTAGCATGGAGTGTTCGAGCCGCTGTAGAGTGAACACCGAGTAGCATGGTACTTGGGAGCTCACAATAATAATTATGCTCTTATTGCTCGCTGATCAAGTTCAATGCCAGCTCTTCAATGCTATCATCGACAACCAAACATAGCGAAACGGTGATCCTGGGGACTTTCGGTATTCCTCCAGCGGCAATAGGCCCTCAGCTAAATATCTGGCAAGTCGAAAAGCAGCCAAAACCCAAAGGCCACGTACGCTTGCCCATAAACACATGAGATTTTGACAGGCCTCAGTGCCATGTGGTCCTGGGACTGCCTGTTACCAGCGACAGACTCCATCCAGGCCAAAGGTGGTACAGAGCTCTCCCAGAACTTTTCGTGTCATCTTTAGAGTCCTCGGGCCAAACCTCGCTAGCTTTTGGAGGGCTTCTTACTCAATACTTGCTAAATCAGAAGACATATCTCTCACAGATATAAAGGATAAGCCGCTTGCCGCTGGCGGAGACTGGACATGGTGATGCGTGGGGTGTGTGGAGGACGGGAGGAGAACAAGTGTGTTGTCTGTGAATATAAAGACAACCCCGATGACTATTCGATATTCATTACACTATCACTAAACTAATACCATAAAACCACGAAATTCAATTATAACTCTAGTAGTTGCATACTATAATTTGTCTCTAAAGGAATGGAGAATAATGATTCACCGACTCTCGTTGCAGGTTCTTTGATTCATCCTACCTCAATTGTGAAATCTAGATCAAATAGATTATTGGTTGTCTTCCCTACACTCTCATGTATGTTAATAGAAAAGAATCTGGGGCAGTCCGAATCTAACGGCTAATCAATGATTAGCATGGTGAGACAAGCTCATCGTTCCGTCTTGTATCTAATATTTGTCTTTTAGGGGCTAGACTCTACAGAAGATCTAACTAATTGTCCATTGCTGGCATTCAGGTAAGCCTCTTGCTGGTTACACGGTGCCGCAGAAGTGTAGAACTGGGAATCTCACTGACCGGCCGCAGATGCTTGCATTTTGCGTACGCTAAGACATTATGATGCTTTGCGGACCAACTAGGCACCCCTGTCTGTAAAGTGCAGAGTGGTAAACCTACACCGACAACGACTGGTGGGCCATTGATTGTCACACTATGACCGTTACAATCCCACGAACCGCAGCCTTGTACTCTCGGAGAATATCCTCTAAGAAAGGAGTCTTAGACCTGGCCTTTTTGAGCCTCGTATTTGCAAACCTCAGGCTCTATGTCCATGAAAACATCGCAGGAGAAGGCAACCCAAGACAAAAAAAATTATCGAGGGTAGCTAGGGCATTGCAACTATTCCACCGAGTTGGTCGCCTCACAACACAATCACACAGATGAAACACGCTGGATATACTCACAATAGAGGGCTACCAGTTGTATATAATCTAAATTGACAGGCTCAGGCTTATGGGTTATCTAAATTACTTTGATCCTCTCACTGAGAAGTACAGGCAGGAATAATCCAAGGCCTACAAGCTTTGCTTCGGGGATATGTGTGACTTGCTCTGCGAGCGATATACCGGCCGTGGTGGATGCGGGCATACTATTGCTAGAGATTACCAGCGTTGCCGTGCTGCCTTTCGACGTCCGAATATGAAACCATGCGTACCGCCAAGCGGAAGGATGCGTGATCTGGGGCGTGTCATCGATATAGAAAATGATTTTCTAGATGGCCCATGTCCAGTCTGCAGAGGTGAAACACCACCAAGCTCGGAAGGGTCTGAATTTATGGTCATCGTTTGAACCCCTGGTAAGAGCGTGAAGCTAGGTACACAACCAATATTAAAAGATCCTCAATTTAGTGCGTATCTAAGCGGGCCCAGCAAGGAAGAAAAAGCCTCCGAGCAATATTGATGGAGGACAAGAAGCGGGGAATGACCTGGAAGGGCCATACAGGAAAAGCCAATGGAATTACGATGCAAATGAACATCGATGTCTCTATTTATGTTGCCTTGCTATTTGCTCCAACAAATGCATTTTATCCTACTTATCCATTCTATTAGTTTCTCAGCTGAACTTGTCTCCAAGCAAACATTGAAATAATTCCCGGCCAAATATATAAGAGCAATCAACCCCCCCGGTCAAATCGTACAGCCCAACCCTATCTTTCACAAACCCCTACCAGCATCAACATGGATCGACCAAAGCGAGTAATCCTACGCTTACAGGAAGCCGACCTCGATGAGGGAGACCTGTATGAACCTGTTCGACTGTATTTCGGAAAGATGAACCGCCCAGTCCAGGAACTTGAAACCAACCGTCATTTTATCCACATCCAACCCCCGAACCCCCATATACCACAAGTCAACCCCAAATTACACGTTGTGATTGACCTCGAGGCCGAAAAATTCTCTGGGAAGCTTAGTGCAGATTTTCCCCACGAGATATATCGTGTGCGTCGGATTGACGGCACGTTGTGCGTTGATTCATCCATCCTTTCTTTTAATACGAAGTTCGTTGCGTGCAACTAATACTTGGCCTAGGGTGATGTATGCTTTCAAAGACGGGGCTTGGTACCAGAACTTTGTTCGTAAGCTTCGGTCAATTATCGACGATGTTTATCCTTGGGGGACGATAAAAGGTGATCTCAAGCGTTCAGGTGGCACGGGTGCACAGGCCTGTGAGGCCTGCGAGAGCTGAAGTGACACAAAATCGAATCACTTTATGGAGGACTCGAGGTGGACTATGCTGGCTTCAGTAATACGCATGAGACAAAAGTATTCTCTAGAATATTGGCAATTGGGTGCTAAATACGAAGAATGTTGCCCAATCAGCAAGATTAGGCTTTCCTACCGTTGAGCTTTCTTGTGAAATAATGGACGCTTTCTTGACTTTTCCTGTGGCATTGAAACACTTAGAAGTAACAGTCTAAACCAGTGCATTGTGGAAATAGGGCCAGTATTCTAACCCAAGTCAAATTTGTATTCAGACCATCCAATAGGGTGCAAACAGCTAACTAAGCATTTGAGAAATAAAAGAATCTATCACTAATAATAAGCATAGAGCAAAAGCCCCTTTAGATCTTCTGCTCGTCGATATCATAAACCATATGCCTTTGTCCATTTCCCCTCTTCTCCAACCCTAAAGCCCATGAAACCCAGAAAGCCGCCCCAACCACAACTTCCTTTGCCCACAGGCCCCAAGGTCCAGTCTTCTTCCGCACCTCCACGTTTCGTGCAGCAAGCTTGTAGACCTCGTTCACTCGGGGTCTCCTGATCTCATCAAACCTCTTATATGCCTCCTCCACAGACTGACTCGGATCCTCTAACAGCCGAGCAAGCAGGAATGTATCTTCAAGTGCCATGGAAACACCCTGACCCGCATGCGGCTGCATAGCATGCGCAGCATCCCCAAGCAGCATACACCTCCCCTTGTGCCAAGTACCCCCGAGAGGAAGCCGGTAGATAGGATAAAATTTGATAACATCAGTACCATCAACGAGCTGCCTCAATACGTCCCCCCAGTCCCCATGCACCTTTTCCAAAATTCGATGCATATTCGACTTGAAACCATCCACCTCTTGCAACCTCCGCACCTCCCACCCATCCCGACTATCCCCTGACTCAGGCAAGGGCACCTCTTGGGATAGACCCCAGTACACCTCATCCCCCTTCGCCGTAGCTAGCGTGGCCATAAACATCCCCTCCTCCGTCAACGCTACCCCCATTCCCGAAATCCTCGAAGCTGCAGAAGCATCCAGACTCTCCGTACGAACAAGCGAGAAAAGCGACGAAATCCCAGAGTACTCCGGTTCCTGCAGGGGATCGACATAAATCCGCCGCACGAAAGAGTGAATGCCATCGCATCCAATTAGGATATCCGCCTGGTCAATACTGCCATCTGAGAACGTCACGGTTACCCCAGATATTCCGTTGTCGGCAATAGCAGTTAGGCGCTTGTTATAGTGTACCGGGATCTGGGCTTTGTCTACCGCGCCCAGGAGAACGTCTACTAGATCCGTTCGCTTGATGCGCATATACCCGAATCCGGTCTGCGCGCGTGCGTAGCTGACCATGTCTTCTTGTTTGGCGACGATACCGCCCTGTGCGGAGTGGACGACGAGGTTGCTGTGGCTGCTACCTCGTGTCTGGAGGGTGTCGTAGATACCGAGGCGGTGGAGGAGCCGCATGCCGTTGGGCATAATGCCGATTGCACCGCCGAGAGTGGTTGGTTCTGTGCGTATTTCATAGATGGTGCATTTGATGTTGGTGGTTTGGTGGAGGCGTAGGGCTGTTGATAGACCGGCTGGGCCGCCTCCGATTATGATTGCCTGGGACGGTTAGAGAGCATAAACAGTTGATATGTGAGGACATACCTTTCGATGTTGAGGCATTTTTTAAAGATTTGAGATAGTATTGAACCTTGCATTCCTTGGATTTCTATTTCTCCGCGTCAGTGAGTTGATTTTATACTTCCATTCTCCGGAAGGTCCGCGGGTGGTCCGCGGTGCTAATTGCCCTTTAAGACTAGTCTATCCGCGGACAACCAGCACTAGGAATCGATTTTCTCAATGTTCTTGGGTACACATCATCTTAAAAAAGTGATGTTTTAGACCATTCAAGGCGGTTAAAAGGATCTTAAAATACCAATGATGTCTCCTATATCATCGCCAGAACATGTTTAGGCTGGCAAACTTTACCAGTTTTTCACTCGCCTATGCATCTCGACAACAACATATCTGTTGAAGAGTGAAGCTTTAGAAAGGTAAGTATGGTGTTTATTTTAGTGTAAACAGGAAAGCAAAGGCCATGAGTTATTTTGTTGCTTTGATGTGTGAATGATCTAGTTCCTTTGATTGTTTTTCTTGTGGACTTCGTCTTTTGTGGCTCTACCACAAACATACTATTCCCCATTATGACATCCACAATATTGATCAATGCAAGTCTACTATCGCTGTTATTAATGACACCTATGACTCCCTCACATTGTAGCTCTAGAAACTAAGCCGATACCACGAACGCTTAATTGTACCTGAGGCGAGTACACATTTGGGCTATGGAATGTGTATGCCTTATCCCTATCGAGCTAAGACCATAAAGATATGAAATCCAGAACAGGAGAGATCCACGTGGTGTTAATCCAAGAGCTGGATTCTAGCTAGTGAATGTAGTAGGATTGATCCATGCTTTTTGAGGTATTATGTATTGGGAGATGGCATAGGACCTTCCTTTTCGAAGTTGTTAGGAGAATCACGGGGAAACCTGGTAACCAACATTTGGGGTATAAAGGTATAAAGCCTTGCCTTCACACCAGCACTGTTTAGCGCTGATCAGAGGCTGAGAAGACCTGAGGAGGGTTGCAGAGGATGCAGCTCACCTTATCAACGTCCAATAAACGTTTGCAAGGCGCCACTAGTACCCTTCCTCAGGCTCAGCTGAGCATCCAGCTACCCCCGGACCATTAGTAGCAGCAATTCAACCAGACACTCCACACTACGCGTGTCGTACCCCAATCTACTCCCCACATCTGTCTGATTCCCACAGGCAGTCGTCAGATCACACATCTCCTATTACAAGAAAGTCAGTGGTTCGCCGATCTGGTCCATGCACATCGTCTCTCCACTTAATTAACCAGAGCTTGGAATATGAATTCACAGTGTGGGGCATTTCGCATTGGACCAGGTAATACCTTCAGCCATCCATGTTGCAAAAGCAGACTTCTCGAGGAAACCAGACGTAACCCCCGTCTATAGCCCAGCCTGGTCCTTAGTTCGGCATTTGGATGTTGCAATTGCCCAATCTCTGGTTGGCTGGTGATCAGGGGGTCTCAGGTCCGCATGTGGCTGGCACTAATATCTGCCCCGCTGATATGTGGGGTGAGGGCTCAAGAACAATATTCAAGGATGGCTTCACACACTGTAACAATGGTGTGAATACCGAGCAATCAAGTCTCATCTGAAGTGAAGATGAACTGGCACTTTAAACCATGAATTTTAGCCTTTTTTGAACATATTTGCTCCAGATACTGCTCTGCACACTGTGTGTATCAGGGAGGTTTGCTAATGCTAACCCGAGTTCAATCGTACCACCAAAGATTCTACATCCTACACATCCCCCAGGACATAATCCTCTTGAACTTCGCCACCTTATCCCGCGGTCCGACCACTCTTCATATTTTGCAAGTAAGGGTAAGGCAGGTGAGAAGCAGATCCAACTGTCATCCTGGACCATCTCAGCTCATATTCAAAACGTAGACTGCTCCTTGAATGGATTCACAGTCTGCTTTGAAAATGAGAGAGCCAAAGATGCCGCACAGGACAGCCGGTATCTCAAGGATGAGAATTCCCTTATCATTATTTCTCCCCATTTCCCGGGGTGTCGAAGATACTATCGAGAAAGAACATAGTGGCAAATCGTGTCATCTCAACTGGAGTATAAGAATGGATGCACTCACGTCAAAACAGAGGTTTCCTTTCCAACTATCATCCAACGTGAAAATCTCCGCTTTGGCCATTTCGAGGCCCATATGGGGAACTCGATAGACGATCTAAGCCAGGTGGGGTTATTTGAAGGGCACTGAGGACATCTCTAATAAGAAAGATACTCCTGATCGGTTCTTCGGCGGAAGTCCATGAACATCTTTTGTCGAGTTAGCCTCGCAGCAGATCATGGCCTGTGAAACCGGGCCTGTTTATTATGGGTGTATCGATTTCGGCAGCGTTTTCCATCTAATAAATACAGCCCTCGGCCATGGTATTTCATCTATCAGCAATGGATTAACGAAAATGCCCAAGCAGCCTCTCACGTATTGCAAAACGGCGGCAAAGAGCTAGAAAGGTTCATTAAAGATCCTTTTGGTTACGAATGGTCATTATCCGACTCACACTCGTGGAGTTTTAACTTTGGGGCCCCAAACTCGCTTCTACAAAGTCTCTCTCCCATTTTCGGTGTCGATAGCGGCCTTCTCTTGGTGGGTGATAGTCCGCCGTCTGGAAATTGCAGTTTGACAACTGTTACGCAAAGGGAGGCCTTGCAATCACGGGGGGATATCCCTTTCAGTTTGCACCAGAGGAGTCGATAAAGCCGAGTTAGATGCCGGGTTGGACTTGGACTCGCGTTTGGCAATCTCCGTGACGCTTGAGGGCATGGCCAAGCAGATCGATTACAACAAGGAGACCTTCTCTTGGAACCCCTTAGGGTTAGAATCCCTCAAGTTATCAGTGTAGGACCACAGGTCACTTTGAATGCTGCCATGGGCCTGTCTGCTTCAGGGAGGGCTTCTATCGTAGTTGGAGGATCGCTAAAGATAGAAAATACCCGTGCTAAGTTGGACCGCAAACAGATGACAGGCTCTATTGAGAGATTGGACCCAGAATTTACCCTAATCACCAATGCCAAAGATGGTTCTTCATCGGTAACATTGAGTTTTGGTCTTCCCCTGGGATTTGAATTTGGAATAGATATTTGGCGAGAAGTGGAAAGCTGAGGTTGGCTTATATGATAAGATCTATGCGGACGCTACTGCTCCGGCCTTTACAGAAGAGGATTGCCCCGGAATCAGCATTGATCTCGGTGTCAAGAGCAAGATCTACCTCGGTATACCAGGGAAGCCCAGCGCACTCATTATCAAGGATAGCACCCTATTATCAATGCAGCCGATCTGTATCAGATATGCCGGTTTTTACACCGAACTTCTAATAGCCCAGGATCAACGTCGAGCTGACAATTCATAGGGCATATCTATTAACTTCGACGATCTAGGCTTTCAGCAATTCGAGACTTTCCCATCCGAAAAGGATACTGTTGAAGTACTATACATGAAGAAAACAAAGACGACGGATCTGCGAGATCAATTTGCCAGAATTTGTGGAATGCAGGATAAGGTGCTCACCGATGTAAACCAAGCCGCCGCTCTTTATGTGGGCAAGGAAGATGGTTTGTATCTTGTGCCTGCGAATGATCCCACGATAGCTGAGGGTGTCGCTTTCCAATATCTTCCAGATGTATCAGACCCTTTGTGTATCAGGGATGGCTATGGTGGGTTCTTGAATACAGACGGTGATGAAATGGATCAATTTGGCACGAGTAGCTTGCGCTCCTCGTGGCTGGCCAGGTGCCGGCCAAAGCAGTGCAGATGCAAGTATTATTCCTTTCGCAGGACTAAACCTCTATCCCTTCATGTTCTTTTCTTTTCTTCTTTTCCCCCTTTTTGTGGTCTCTTCGTTCACTTGTCAGCTTGATATGAAGATGGGCAGCTAATTGGCCAATTATAGCACATTGCTCGAAGTTGCAAGAGGTGAACCAGGTGGGACTGGTGTACTTGTTGTACTAGACGGGAAAAGGTACATGTCCGCAGCCTTGTGGCATGTTATATACCCCAAAAATGGGGTGTGTGTATTTGGATGGTTCAGGAATGATCGAGGGCCTGATGAGCCGGTTGAATCGCGGTGGATTAGATGAGTTCATCTAAGGTAAAGGGCAGCACTGCCAGCCTCTTTATGGTATCTACACTACGGGATTCAAGCTCAATCAGTCAAGATTGCGTAGTTGGTTGTAGGTGAGAGCGTGGGTAGTGAAAAGTGGAGGGTTGTGATGTTGATACGGAGAAATGCAGGGGAGAACTACGGTCGTTAAACCATTTATATCCTATGTCATTACCTAGGACTCCGGTTATAGTTTGAATGTTAAATAGTACTGAAGAAGTATATCTATCATTGTGTAGACAGTGAGATACAAATCCAAGCTAGTCCCGGGAAGGAAACAGATGCCTCAGGAACAGAGTCCTCCGCACCAGTAAAATCCTGCGATGAGCCCCATCGACCTCGTAAACTTCACTGTTAATGTTAATTAGTGTTGAGGCCTCTCACCGGACTCGCCCTAATTCGTAGATGGCCGGTTGAATTAGTGAAAATTCTTTCTTCTTCCCTGTTGGCCTTCATAGCATGTCACAGGGAACATTGACTTGCTAAGGACACACACGGTCAAAATGATTCAAATGCCAAGTGCGACGGCAGAGCGCCCTCAGTCCCCTGATGGCCCGACATTCGACAAGGATGCCGCTTTGGCAGTTGTGAGTGAGGAAGCACAGGAGGTTGACCCTGCAGTGGAGAAGCATGTACTGCGCAAAATCGATCTGTTCTTTATGCCTGCCATGTTAATAGGTAAGCTTTCATTTCAAATCTTCTTCATTTGCACTTATTGACATTTGAGGGTTAGGATATGGATTTGTATACTGGGACAAAGTCAGCCTTTAAGCGTTTCTATTTTTATGAGAGTTGGCGCTGACCCTTTTAGGCTATCTTGGGAAGTGCCTCTTTGTTTGGCATGACCACTGATCTAGAGCTACTAGTCATGGATCATTCCACATCACCCCCGTCAAAAGACACCTCACGGCTCAGCTGGGCAACTTCTATCTTTTATTTTGGGATGCTGGCCGGCTTGTACCCAATGACATTCATTCTCCAACGTTTCAAAACGCAGTATGTATTCGGCCCGATTGTGATGATGTGGGCTGTCACTTGTGCTGCTACCGCAGGGGTGAAATCATGGCAGGGCCTTTTTGTGCAGCGATTTTTCTTAGGTATGCTTCCCCCCACATGACGATAGTCTCGTTCCGTTAGTATACAATGTGTCTGACAGGTATTCTAGGCTTCGTTGAAAGTGTAGTTCCCACCGGTTTCATGACCATTGTGAGTAGCTACTATACGCAGAGGGAACAGGCCATGCGTCAGGCATGGTGGTTCTCTGGCACTGGATGGTTCACCATCATTGGTGGCGCTTTAAATTACGCGTTCGGCCAAATCAGCTCTGGTGCCCTGAAGCGCTGGCAATACATCTACATTTTTGCCGGTGTGCTTACTTTCTTTTTCGGGCTGTGGTGCTGCATTATGCCCAACTCGCCTGTCTCCGCATGGTTCTTGACCCCGGAGGAACGCGTCGTCGCAGTGGAACGACTTCGCAAAGGACAGACTGGTGTGCGGTGCCAGAAGATTAAATGGGATCATATCAAGGAATCATTCTTAGACCTAAAATTGTACCTCGTTGCGATCATGATGGCTGCAGCGTGAGTATATCCATGTCCTTCGAAAGGTTCCTTCTCACCATCCCCCAGATATACCATCAACGGCGCCATCTCTGGGTTTGGTCCCCTCATCGTATCCACGTTTGGCTTCAACACGCTGGATTCAATCCTCTTCCAATTTCCCGTCGGCGGTGTCTGCGTAATATTTATCCCCTTATGCGGTTACATCTCATCGCGCATTCCTAACACGCGCATTCCTATGTTAATCACTTGTTGCCTTCCTGTCATCGCTGGATGTGTTATCATCTGGAAGTCAGAATGGGGATACCAACCCGCGGCCCCGGTGGTGGGCTACGCATTAACCGGATTCTTCGGACCGGTTGTCAGTCTGATTATTACCCTTGGTGCCAGCAACGTAGCGGGCGCTACAAAGAAAACGATCATGGCAGCAACGGTATTTGTCGCTTACACGGTCGGTAACATCATAGGACCGCAACTCGTGAATAGTAAGACTGTGGACCAGCATTACCCTGAGCTATGGACCGGCATGGTAATTTGCTATTGCATCACTATTGCTGCTGCAGTAGCGTTGTATTTCGTGTTGTGGAAGGAGAACCGCCGTCGGGACAAGATGGATCTTGACGAGGATCAGCGGGATAAGCTGGCATTCCAGGATCTGACTGATAAGCAGAATCCGTTCTTCAGATACGTTCTATAATTGCACCCCTAATCCACATCGCCATATACCCGCGATAGAGATAAAATAGAGCTAGAGTTAGAATATAATCTCCCACCGTATATCGCAAATTGGGTATACGCAAGATTTCCGGTCGCAAAAAGAGTAAATACCAGACTATCAACTCTCCGAGTCCTCCCAGAGATGATTCTGAAAGCCTGTTCCATCATCGCCCGTTACCACCACCCACATCACCTTCTGCGCAATGCGACTCTCTCTCTTCTCGACCCTCTGCAAGCGTCGTTCACCCTTCTGCAGCACCTTCGTGACCCTCTTCTCCCTCTCCTTGACCAGCTTATTCAATGATTTATCCAGCTTCTTCAGATCTTTCTCCAGGTCATCCTGCACAATCCCCCTACCCTGCAAGGACTCCCCCAAAGGGCCCTGCAACCTCTCCCTGGCCCTAACCCTAGCAGCCTCCCTCGCAGCCTGTACCTCCTCAATCTTCCCATTGATCTCCCTCTCTGCCTCCTCCGCCTCACTCAACCACTTTCCCGCCTTCTCCCTCTTCCCAACCAGCAACTGATTCTGCCTCTCAGCAAACCACTTCTCCTGCGCATCAGTAGCCCTCTTAACCCAATTATCCTTCGCAACGACCACCCCTTCCTCGACAACAACCGGCGACACAAACTCCTTAAGCGCCTCTATCCTCCTCAACTGCGGATCATATCCACCACCCCCCTTCCCCTGCTCCTTCCCCTCCCCATCCCCCTCCAAATCCCCAAACTCCTCATCCCTCCCCACAGCCCCCAGTTCCAAGACATCCCCGGGAATCCCCACCTCCCCCATCATAACTCTCGTGCGAAGCACCTGCACCCTCAACCCCCTCGGCCTAAACAGCTCCTCGTTGGCCAACCGCATATATGCCTGCGTCCGCATCTGAGATACCTTAATCGACCCATACTCCGCCGCAGCCTGGACCCCCAAACTGGCAATCTGGAACTCCAGAAGCGGGATGAAGCCCACCAGCGCACTGGTCGCTCCAATAGCCTGGATGTACGGGTTCGCCAGCCAGACGTCGTTGAGGGCGTCGATGAAGGCTAGGAAGTCTGCTTTGGAGATGCCGTGGGATTCCAGGGCGGGTGCGTAGGCACGCAGGAAGGGACGATAGATTGTCCCGTGAATGGTGTGAGAGATTTCTTTTTTTTTTTTTTGTTAGTCTGGTTCCAATTGATTTTGGTCAAGGGGAGACGTACGGGGGATGACGATTGGTTTGGGGAGGATGGTGGAGGGGCGGTAGGCGTAATCTGTTGTTTGGTTTTGGATTAGGGTTTGGGGGGTGTAGGGTGGTGGGGGGTCGTTGGTTATATCCGAGTCGTGAGGTTGTTGTTGGTCGTCTTGTTGGTTGTGTTGTTTACTGGTGTTGTCAGGAGAGGGGTCGTAAAGAGAGGTGGGGTGTTTTTCGTCTGTTGGGGGGCGTGGTGGGAGGGGAGGTCTTCTTTCTTCCATTTTTTTTTTTTTTTTGAGGCCGGCTTAATACAGCTGCGGGTGTTTACGTGGATACTTATAGTCTTAATCTTTTGGAAGGTTTTATACAAGTGTGTGTATATCATGGCATGGCCTTTGCGAGTTGGACGTCGGCGGATTATGCGCGTGGACCAATCAGAGTGCTTTCTGATAAGTCTTAAGTCTTATCTGATACGGAGATTAAGTTGTGTTACATTATTCTTCCCAAATTGGACGACCGGATGTACGTAAACCGTCTTGCAGATACTCCTAATGCCAAGGTCTCCCTGTGAAACTAATACAGTAATGAGTTTAAGTCATACACAATTTGTGGCTACGAGATACTGAAGCAAGAGAGCACCACCAAAGGTAGTGTTCAAAATTGGTGCGGGGGGGGGAAGAGTATACCTATATATTAGGGCAAGTCCTTTCAACGTGATTGTGGATACCTAATCTGGGAGACAGAAAGCGGTCACTGATATTAGAGATAGTGAGCGCGGAAAGAAACATATGAAAGAAGTCAAAACAAAAGGATCACACAATCGCTATGCTGCGCAAGTGATCATTCAGTCTATTAAGAACCCAATAGTAACGCCCCAATATCAATGCTAGTCTGATAGTCATAACACGTAAAAATCAGTAATTCTTGTCCTCCAAAACTACTCCTCCTTCTTGGGTTCTTTTTGGACAATACTGAAATTATCCCATTTCTCCAGGAACCGATCCATACTTACATCGGAAGGTCGAGACTTTCCCTGCCGGATCACGGTTGAGAAATGTGGATAAAAGCTGCTAAACTCCTGAGCATCCCTATCACGCCAAGTCTCTGTCTCGAAATCCACGAATAGAGCGTCCGTTTCCTCCGGTAAGTTTACCTCCATCTGTTTGGCGGTTACCTGGATCATGCGCATGATGCCCTTTGCTAGAGCGAAACGGCGAGACATCGCCCGGGCGAAGATGCACAGTTCAACGAAGGCCTTTCGGTTTTCAAGGACGTCGAGTGCTTCGAGAAGAGTGAAAAGACCGATGCTTGTCCACTGAACGGTAGAGGGGGCCATGCGGTCGATACCCCATTTCTCGCGGTGGGTGCCAAGGATGTGGGGGATCCGCCTGGCGGTTGAGAGGCAGAGGTCCTGGGCATTCTTTGCGGTCTCTGGACATAAAGTGCCGCCGTTAGATCGGAGGAATCCGAATATCTGCATGACAGTGGTGTGGTAAAATAAGCTACAGTCGGTGTTAGCAGTCTCACTGTAGGTACAAATTGCACGAATAAACTGACTGCAGGCTTAAAACATGCGGGACTTCGGCAGACTCTAGTTGTAAGCATTCCGGTAGATTCGCGTGCCACCCCAGCAGCTGCTGGTATATGTCATTGATAATGGTCGGGATTTCACTCTGAGGCGGACTGTTCTCAGGGTCATGAAGGGCTCTGCTGATTCGGATCGTGATACAACAAAGGTCACACCACCGGTCAAATACACAATTATGGTGTGCCCGCACCGGCTCCATCGGTCGAGGATAAGGAGACCATACATCGTGACGGTCCTCATGGTCGATGGGGACACGCGGTCGGGAGGGGGGGTTAATCTCTATATGTTTCATCAGGGACACCGTTGCGGTGCTTTCAACATTCAGTTCAGCTGTCTTCAAAATGGATGGGAGTCCTGAACGTACGAAGAAATATTAAAAGCCCCCCAAAGCGTTCGGTTAATCGCATTTTCAACTCGCCGAGCCGATTCCGTTTGGGCTACTCGAGGTGGGTGTGACGCGGTATATTCCTTCGCCGCTTGCATGGCGAGATCCATATACACCCATCCAACCCGGTCTTTACCCATCAACACAAGGCTGAACTATATTAGTAAACGGTCAACACGAGTAGCTACCCACACTAACCGAATAAATAGCACTAGGAGACCTTGTATCGTCGGGATGCTGTTGGGAACACCATTGTCCTCTGCCTCGAGCAACCGACGAGCCTCTTCGTAGAAGTGGTTGCCGCGAGAGTACATATCCCCGGGGACAGTGAACACGTCGGCGTAGTCGGAGTAATACTGACGAATCGCACCAATCAATAAAAACCCTCGTATACTGAATTTGAATAGTACAAACTACGCTACATACACTCGCCTCCGAAAGAATGGCATTCACCAAAAAAGGCGAACAAAACCGACAATTCACATCACCTGCCTGCATATCGCGGATGAAGGCGTCCTTGTCTAGCCAGTCAAACCATGGGTAGGTCCACGTCAACCACAAAGACACTAGGTGCGACACGAGATCGTCGTCATCGGTAACCGTCGTCCACGGCTTCGCGGGAACTTTGTATACGGGTATGTCGACGAGCCGGCGGACTTCAAGCATGCGTCTAGGAATTCGGGGCATATTACGTTCCTCAGCTTCATCGTTGTCATCGTCAGAGGGCCGGGTGAGCTGATTCTGGAACTCGCGCAACTCGGGTGACCTTTCGATTTCAGTGCGAGAGAACTGCAGCTCTAAGAAAATCGCAATCTCATCGAATGAAGCGTTGCTCCGAATCAAGTTCAACAACTGTGCAACACGTGTATTTTCGCTCTCGCGTATGGCTCCTAATAAACGTAGCAAGGTATCTTCTGCTTGCTCGAGACGGTCCACTTTTCGTTTCATGGCGAACTTTCGACGCATATCCGCCATCTCGTCAACGACACAGTCAATGCCATTGATGCTGCAGTGCTCACACGGTGGATCACCTCGGCACTAGAGGAGTCAGCTCAAATGTTCGCCTTTGACCAGCCAGCCATAGACCTCAACAACAACCATTTAAATGCAGTACAGGAAGGAGAGAAAGGGGAAGGGAGGATCGAGTTATCGCACCTTGAGCTTTTTCAATTTGCACGCTCTACAGGCGGTAGTCTTGTGCTTTCGCCCGCGAACTACATCGTCACTGGAACTGGTTCGTCTCGAAAGTGGCCCAGGAGTCGGTGCAGGGGGACGAGGCGACGACGACGATGACTGCGACTCGGACATATAGAGGAATGGCGAAGGCCGGTGGGTCGGTAATGGGACAGGGAAAGGGCAGATGTCAGAGGCATGAAGGGTGGAGTTATATATATACCTTGGAGCTTTCCTCAAGTACAGTACATACAGATAATTGTAAGAGCGAAAGTACCGCGAGACGGTACAGATGCATACTATTTTATAAAAGGCTACTCCACCGAAGCGAATGATCTCAGTTTCAGTCAATTCCGCGGCCCCACGACAGCTTTCTCATCCTCCTGCAGATCCCCAAATCTCCACTCCGTATCGGCAGGAACTGCCAGCCAATCACGTGCCGCTCCTTTGGGCCACTTGTGCCCTAGCGTCGATACTAGTTGCCCAAAGTCTTCATCTACTAACATTTGAAGAATTCCGGCCTTCGTGATAGGTTCCAATCTCATGGGTGGTTTTTCTTTGACAGACGGCAGACTCCTAGTACAATACCATGTTTCGGCCGTACAGGCATTGGTATAACCGTCTAATAGGTGGCCTGCAGGGGGATTGTCCGAGCATTTGCCTTGCCCTAACTTAGCATCCGAACTAATGAAGTCTAGAAGCGCCAAACAACAGGTGTATTCCTCTACCGGTCCTTTAATGGTATCCCTTCCGTTCCTGAAAGACGGGCCCTACAGGGATGTAATCCAAATCATTGAGGGCAACGCAACCCCACCGTTCCTATGCCTCACGTGGAGGATATCACTTCATCATTCTAGAATGCCGCCGGCCCACAGGGGAGTTTTCCCACGTTTGCCACCCTCCATCACTTGATGGACTTCCGTCCACCAATCGATGAACCGAATATGAATCGATGAATATATCGATATTGGGCTTTCTGACCGGTTGCATCCGTACATCTATTCGAGGGTGGTAAAACACAGCCTCTCGCAGTACGAACGGGTAATCTTTGCCGATGTGACCGATTTCACCTCTCATTGGGCGATCTATTCCGTTCCGGTTGCTAATGTAACATGCGGGCAACAGAAAAAAAAAATTAGCATAGTGAAACAAACCTTCCGACCAAAATCATACTATTGTTTTAGTGTCTCTTCTTTGTCTGTACTAGTACCATGACTTGTCATCGCCAAGATTCTTTGCGTGAATTGTTTCAACCCAATGATACAGGTTCGACCTTCCCCATTTCGTAGATCAAGGACCCCGGAGTCTGTCCAGATTGAACACTTTAGGTAAACTTTTGCCACGGATTCTGGTAGATGAACTGCAATCAGTGGTCAATGACCGGCGCTATGCAGAATATAGTACTTGTGCATACAGATCCTCATTGATCTTCGCGCTAAGGTCAAATGGTGTCCCGAGCGGGCAGCCCAGCGCCCATCTTTACGGTATTTGACAGGACGATCCATGCCAGAGGTTCTCCTGGAGTGCCTTACTAATAATGTCTTGACGCACCGGACCGGGCTGTGTGGTTGGTATTGTAGGGTTCCGTTCTCTTAAATTCTGAACCTAGCGTGTTTATCCCTTCGGTAGATAAAGAAATAGATTCTCAGATGTGTATCTGTTGGCATCTCACTTGTGGGAAGTCCCGATTACGACTCGTAACTCGTTCGAGTAAGGAGATCGATCAGTCAGGCCTAGGTTTGAATACGGAGTTTACAGCCTACGAAAGAAACCTTATCAGGCGAGTCTGCGCATGTATGAATTGTAAGAAGCGGTGTTGTGGACTTCTTTGTATGGTTCTTATGGCGTCGCACTCTATGTATACGTCACCTGGTAGCATCTCATCGCAGTATAGAACCATTATTGTCGTGAGGGATACACACGGTATGTGCTCGCCTTACGCGGCGAACACAACTAGTGCCTCTATTAATCTACACCTATACTTTCCACGGGATGATTGGAGTACCCCTTGTACGGTAGGATCATGTTAGACCGCATCTTCTCCCCGCACTTTAGTTCCCGGTACCGTCGTCGGACAGCCTAAGCGTGTATGTACGCCATAACACAAGGGAAAGTCTATTAGATATTTCTTTGCTCTTCATCGGACCCTCGGAATTCTTCATTCGCCCAGTAACATTCCTCTCCAGAGGGCATGGTTGGGTTGATGAATCAATCTGAACAACTCGTGTCTGTTTTCGATAGATAAAGCCAGTGCTCCCATAACACCATGATTTTCTGAAAAAGGAAATCCCCGCCGATGGCCCTATAAACGCGTCCGCGTTAATATGGAACTTATCTCCGGTCAATCCTGTGACTATCGTCGGCCTTAGTCGGCAAGGTAATACGTAGAACTAGCGATGTGGACAAAGCATCTCACGCTCACCTGACTTTCCTCTCTTGGCAAATCTTACCTTACACAATTGAGATTGATCGGACGATCACGAAGGGATCCTTTTCCGAGACATTTTTTTCACTTGAGCCCGTAAATCAAGGTAGCAGCATTCTTCTCTGCCCATCACCTGTGGTCTCCCCACCTATCTACTTCGTATAATCTTGATTTTCTACTCTCCTTGCGCAGCCCCACCCGGCACGTGAACGCATCTTCGTTCGGTTGATCCTGGAATGGCCTTGGAGCACACAACACGAACATATGACGCCCTTTGGCATAAGCAAAGGTACTCGAGCCGTTTTTAAAGCAAGGGAGCCGGCTTAGTGGGAAGCAAACGCCATACCTTCCAACAAAGACACACCATGAAGGGGTTTTAATCCCCAATCAAGCCAGTCACGTATTGTTAGATCTGCAGACAAAACCGGTAAAAGTGTAGTAATACTTACTTCCTAGGCGCCGGATTCCTGAAGGTGCCAGCGAACCCATGGTTACAATGCCGTCAGATAAAGACCATACATGCATACCTGGCGCCATGCTGGACCTTCCTGTTTCTGGATCCTGCTACGTACCGCGATCGCACAAATTCGCGACGGCGATATCAATTCTTCCGCTAGTCGAACCGCTATGTGCTAATTTGGGGCCAGAAAATGGACTAGTGGAACAGGCTAAATACACACCTGTCAGTGACTGCAGTCCAGGCGTTGGAGTGATTGACCGCTGCATGAAAGTACCATTGCATTGGGCCGCAACGACAGGGCCTAGAAAGGGGACTAAGAGACCAGGCAGGCTCTCCCTGGCATGATCGGAACAGGGCTATCCGAACACCGAGAATTTCCGGCAGTGTTGCCACTGTCCAAGGATTATTGTAGCCTTACTATTCAAATCCCGAATTTCAGAATGTTGCAGCAGATGTCGGGAATGGAGGGTCGGATCCCGCCTCAGGTTTCAGCGTGGTGATGGGAATCACTGTGTCCCTTCTTAGGGCCGGTGTGGATACGACGGAGTACTCCGTATACGGAATGCCTGTATCTCGGGTAGACTGGAGGTTGCCTTTAACTACTACCATTAGCCCTAGTGAATGTCACCCAGCTCAGTGGAGTTGCCTCACGCCAATCGCTGCCTGACAATTTCCTCCAGCCACTCAGACCGAGGGGCTTGCCTAATATGGCTAACACAGGCGGTGAGGCTATTCTGCTTCATATCACCGCCTGGACGTCAATCAGGGCTATAGCCTAACCACCGCCTACCATCCTGGTCTTACTGCCGGACTTTCCCATTTCCGACAGCGACTCGAGGCATCATCTCATGTTTCACATCAATCCTCGGTCTCCAGCACTTCGCAACCATTATCCTGTCTTTACTCTACTAGACCACCTTCCCCGATTGACCCTCAGTGCTCTCCCTAGGCCCTTCCCCGCTCAACTTCCACCACAGACCCAATCACCTACCAAACCGGCCGCGGATCGATTACCTTCCTACCAACCACCACGAACCACCGCCAATGACAACCACCCTCCGAACCCACGACGACTTCCTCCTCGACGAGGAAGCAACAACGCAGCCCCCCAAGAGAAACAAGGTTACCCATCCCGCCCACCGCATCTGCTATGACTGGATGGTGGTATCAGGAAACTGTCACTATGCTAGGGACCGCGCCGTATTCACCACCTACCGCTCCGTCGACCTGCGCCTGAAAAACAACATCTTCAATCCGCACGACGAGCTCCATGTCGCAGGCGTCGGCACCGTCCACCTCACCGTGTGTAAGAGCCCGCGGGACCCCACGCCGCATGTGATCGTGCTGCAGGACGTGCTGCATATTCCGGAGGCGGTTTGCAACGGATTCAACCCGTTGTTGTTTGGCAGTAGCATGTCGTGTAATGCGGATTACTGGGAGGGGGCGGATCGGAGCGGGCAGCCGGTGTGGTTTAGTTTGCCGTTTGCGGGTCATACGAGGTTGGTGTTGGCCGGGGATTTGAAGGGTGAGTCGGAGTTGATTGAGGGAAGGTATTATACGCTTAGTTTGTATATTACGCCGGAGGAGAAGGGGGAGTTGGCGGGTAGTGGGAATGGGAATGGGGTGGCGTTTTGATATTTTCTTTTTGGGATTGGGTTGGTTTGTATAAGGATTTTGGGACCTGGTTGGGCCTTTTTTTTTTATTGTATTTATCCGTTGTATATTATGAGTCAATGAAAAGTTATACCGTTTCTCGGAAGGTCTTCGTCGGCATATCCATGACAAGCCTTGTTCCGGCTATGGTACTCTTTTGCAGATACTCTGCTGGGTTCTGAGATATGTGTCTTGGAGATAGCCGACATGGCGGAAATCTAGTTATTGCCTCAGCAAGGCCACAGCGTCCAGTGATTAAGATCATGTTGAAGATATCCAGAAAGCATAGATTTTCGTATGTACTTGGACATATTGGTGGAACAGGTATTACCAACTAATGTTAAGTTTAATCCTAGAGTTATAGACGGATGACTGCGAATGACCAGATAATATGAAACTATAGTCGCGAAAGTGCTCGGACTACCCTATTAAACGTTCTAAGCCCCAATTAGCTGTTGAAGCATTCGTGCTCCTAGATGTTTATTCTGAAAATCTCCGAGCCATTATGGTCACTACTGAGAAATATGATATGGAACCAGAGCTGTACGCAAAGTGCATTTGTTGTTTAGGTGGATTACTAGACAATTATCCTTCCTACTCATCCCGTATAACCAATGCCTCCTGGGGCACGAAGCGTAGGCTAATACATATCTCTCCCCGCATCACCTTGAAGCAATAGCGTACCACTCTATGTGGCTGCGAATCTCCAATCAGCCACTTGTCCTTTGCTACCTTGGCTCAATATAAGGGCAAAATGGGCTTAGGCTCGCCATTAACTTCAATAATCAATAGTGTCTTCCCCGCGGTTTATGTAACCAGTGCCCCTGAGTGCGTTGTCCTTCGCCAGCAACCCCTTTTCGCACCCTCTCTCGATTTTCCAAATCTCCTATAGAAGTAACCATGAGCGTAATCAACGAGTGGCTTGACGATATCAACATAATCGACCTTCGAGATGAGGACAGCCTTGAGAGCACTGGACTGCCTACCCAGCCATCTCCTTCCAAACAAAGATACGACACAAATTCCTCGTGGACCATGGACAACCAAAAAAGTCAACGTCACGATGTAAAAGATTCAGAGAACGACTTCGATCCTGTTCCAAACTCTTTACCATCCTGTATCGCTCTTACACTTTCTTCTGAGGCGAAATCATCCTACCAACGATCGCTTAACCCGGAACAACGTAAAGCCATCCTAGCAAACGCGACACCAAAAGTATGCTATATCAACGAGCTAGATGCCCTATTGCTGGCTCAATGTCAGACTTACGAAAGTTTCTTGCGAGTAATGGCTCGAGCGATTGGGAGCCAGCCCCCGCACGAAATCCGGGAGATCCTTACTGGCTCTCGTAAATGAACGTATCGGCAGCGCAGTGAGACCTCGTGGATGACAGAGGTGACAGAGGTTGTGAGACCCATGCTTAATGCTGCGATTGGGGACTTTCCTCTAGAGCCTTGGGGCGTGTATGTACACATCCTTATCCTGTGAACGTGTCTTTTGAGCGGTCACTAAACTACCCCAAAAGACAGGAGGAATTGTCAATACAGAATATCAACCCCCCTCTATGACCCAAGACCAATACAATTTCAAGATGGGCTACGTCATCGGACTTCCAACTGGTCAGTGGCAAGTCTTATACGAAGAGATTGCGGGCAGGTTTCCGGGCAAGTATGTCAATCATGTCAACCACCCCTACACCGGAAACCAAGGGAGGGAACCTGAATGAAGCTGAGGTCCAGCTCGGAGCCTGGATGACCGGCTACCTCTCATGGGCGTTTGAGCATCGGATTAGAATATGAGTTACCACTATCAATGGTTAGGTATGTTTCTGTCGGAGAATATTGGGAACTCTATATCATATATGGCGTCCAAGTCAGGAACGGCGTCGAGCCGCCGAGTTTGGGAGAAGTGTCTGTATGGAGTCTACTGTCAGAGTTCCCTGGCCGGACGTCAAACGAAAGGACATGCACCGCACTAGCTAAGATACTTCACCGGGTGATGGAATACATTCTTGCCAATATACCGAGGAATGACGTGGATCTATCATTGGTGAAGGGGGCTCAGAAGCTATTTCTATAGTAGTCGGAAATGTTAGTGCGTCAATTTACTGCAGTTACCCCCTAATTTATATGTAAGATAGACCATCAACAACTGCTTTTTGTACTATTCCTCTGGAGCTGTAGCTAGATCAGCTTCTTTGAGGCCGATCGGGGGATATCACCAATCACACTTCTATCCGTTGACAATTTAGAGCCCCTGAATCAAATCAGAACGGGTATTATAGCTTCACATTCCGCATTCTACATGCAGACTACATGATTTCAATCACTTATAGCATTTCCAAGGTTTGGTGATAGTGATGTGGATGTAGCGTCGTTGATGACATCAAGAATTGGTCTATATTATGTTATCCCTGGCGACGATTACAATTAGGTCATTCTGAAGAAAAACCATGAGTTCATGTTGACTTGCTGCTGGATTCCTAAGGATGGGGTTGTCATTCTTTTCACAATTATGAGCTTCTTTGCCATTCGCTTTAACTTTAAACAGCAAAATAATGGCATCTACGTGCAAGCTGGATGTAGTCGTGGAGAACACGACGAGCCTAGATTTGGAACACATATCTACTACCGTAAAGCACGGCATACTATGCCACTCACTACCGTATGTCATCCCAGCAGGCACAAAGAGATACTTTAAGCTTGAATCCGGAAGTGCCTCAACCGGTGTGGAAGCCACCGTTCTCTATCGCATCGACAAGTCTACCTACTTAGTGATTCATATATATAAACACCACACCGGCTGGAACAGCTACATAGCCTATGTATATGGCCAAAATGCGGATCAATACGATGCTTCGAAGCAGGGGAAAGATGACGATGATCCATGGTTACAGGTTATAATAAGTGAGAAATGAGCAAAGACCTAGCTGCCAATACTAAAGCCTTTCTAGGATGGGATTCGAACGGTGTTTTCCCCTGCTAGGCTGGACGGTGGTGGGTTGTTCACTTTGTGGCCACTGCAGCTCTCGGCTCCTCGGGTATATATTCTACATCTGCTGTGTGGTTTCCTGTATGAACGTCGACAAATATCAGCCGCACCGCCCAGGATTATCCGGGCTCTGGCTATTGGTGTAATGGAAGCTTTGCCTGAACTAATACTCCCCCGCCTGCTGCCTCATGCATACTAATGCAACACAATGCTTATCCTAATTTCCGAAGGGCGAACCTTTGTTGGCTATGGACGCCGATGACTAGTGAAAATCCAAGGGTTATCCACCCTCGGGCAAAATCTTCCGCTGTCCAGTTCAGAACCATGACTCAGGCACACTTATTGCTAACAATAATAGTAGCAATTATATCTTTGTCCCGCTGTTCTCTCGTATTTGAACAGAATTGGGAGTTGTTCATTGTATTGTGACACTATACTCCATCATCCATGCCTCAGAAGTCCTTGCGATGGGTCACATCTTTTCAAATCCCTCGTCAATAACCACCTAACAGATTGCATTATAGCGATATACCCATGAGAGAAATATCATTCTCAACGTGATAAATTAGACTAAAATTCTCCGGCAATGCTGGTCGGTCCGAACTAGTGTCTCGTAGAAACATCGTCAAGATAGCAACGACAGTAGCAACACGGTGATAGGGTACTGCTAAGTCCCCTGCCATATGTACACGACATTACAAATCTAAGACTTGTTGAGCAAGTAAGACACAGTGGCCTTTGATACTCGTACAGATAAATCATAAGTTATTCCGCCAATCCTAGCTCTCGTTAGCATCTAACCCGCACCATAATAAGCATCTCAAAACTATCTCAGGCTTCACTCGGCAAGCCTTTAAGAAACCATGGAGGCTTCTCATACGTTGTGTGCATACCGATCCCTCGCTTCCCGCTTTATCCGTCGTCTACAACACAGTACGTACTCATGTGTCTGTATTCATGGCCACATTCAGTCCCGAACCGATAGCATACATGTTACATAGTCAGCGTACGCGGAGAGTAGGCTAGGTCTCAATATATCAAAAGTCCGTGCTTCATCCGGGAGTTCAAGCGTATTTGTGTCGGAATCTGACGCACAAATCTATAAGATTCTCCCTCCTTTGGGGAAAGCCCCGTGATTTCTAATACATTAGGTCCAGCTTACAGTACCGAGGCACCCCACGCTATGTATAAGGGGCAGCTGACATTGGCGTTCCAGCTCGCTCACCAGCCTAGAAATCATAGCCCGTGGGGATTCATACATGGTCACCTATATGGGCCTCGGGTATACATTCGTGCCGGTAGTATGCGGTACGGCAATATATTCCTCGGGATTGTCTTGTCTGTAGTCCCCAGATAGCGAGCCGACAATTATGGAGTCAGTGCGGTGGCCAAGTGTTCGATGTGCGTCTGGTCCAATCTAAACCCAGTCGCCTCACACCGGCTAACCCCAGAACTGATGATCGGTGAAGCTGTCTAGACAGATCAGGCTGAGATCACGGACCGTCATATGTTATTTCAAGTTGTGCTGAAGGCTTAAAGTGGCGTCAAATCAGGTGCAGTAGCTCATGCTTCCGAGGTATTCTGCCATGTGGCTTGTAATGCATACTACTAATGCTGTTGTCCATATCTTGACATATGGGAAGGAAATTAGCGGCATGCTAGAGCCAAGGCGGGCCAATGTCTTGATACCGCTTAAATGCCAATACTTTTAGCCTGCAGCTAAGACTAGCAGCAATTACATACGCTCAATCACAGGATGACCACGGGGTTTAGGGCCGTTTTCCCAGTCGCAATCCCAGCTTAACGAGTGCAGGCTAATCCTGTCAACCCCAGATAGTCCACCCACAAACCCCCGGAAAGTTCATGATTTGCGGGCGGAGCCTGAAATGCAACGCTGACTAGGAGAGAAAAGGACACGGTAACTCGGACCGACGGCCGCACCAGAGAGTTTAGTCTCTAGTAGTAGCACGCTTATGGCGTGAGCTACTTGAGCAGCCATTGTTTAGAACTGGTGGCGTATTAACGATGGGAGATCATTTGAATCTGACCACACGAGCACGATGGGGAGATGTTGGATCAACTATTGTACCCCATTGTGGACATCGTATTGGTCCTCCACACCCCCACGAAATACGAAATACGGACTAAGGCTTTCCCCAGACTTAAGTTCGATATCTACTTATACCCTTTTGGTTACGGAAGGATCCCTCCTTGTTGCATTCATCCGGGGGGCTACCATTTGCCTTTAGACAGGGCTGAATAGTCCAGAACCCTTGTTTTTGATTTGAATAGATGTAACGGTTTAATATAGGCCGTGCTGTATCGTAATCAACCCGAAGCTGGCAGGAAATGGGATGTCACGCGGAAACGCTCAGAGTTTTATATTGTATATCAACCCTCTCCGAACCTCCCTTGACTTCGCCTTCTTTTCTCGCCCATACCATGTAAATGTATCCACTATTAATCGATTCCTCTGCTTTGTCTTTGATCCACCATGGCCGAAAAGATGGATGCCACCATGTCCCACAGTGACCACCCTGACGACCCCCAGGTCGTCGGCGTCAACAATGCCGCGTTGGCGGTAGCCACCATCCAGCAGAAGCCCAAATTGCTGAGCAAGAGCATGCTCAAGGTAATCGGATTGGTTCTTTACATTCACGGGGAAGCGACTAATCGGTATAGCTGTACTGGTGCATCGCTGTGGCCATGCTTAATTCCTGCATCAACGGATACGACGGCTCGCTCATGGGTTCTATCAACAGCTACGAACAATACCGATCCTACTTCGGATTTGACCCAGACGAGGGTACGCCTTCTACTGGAATCGTATACGCGATCTATACCATCGGAAACATCGTGGGTTCATTCACGGCTGGTCCTTTCACTGACTTCAAGGGTACTCCTTCTCGGTGCGTACCGTTTATCCACACACTACTAAATTCTACCATATAGGACGTCGCGTCGGCATGGCCCTCGGATCCATTTTCATTATCATCGGAACCGTTGTCCAAGCTACCTGCCATAACATCGGCGGCTTCATGGCTGGTCGATTCATCCTCGGCTTCGGTGTCGCCACATCCGCTACAGCCGGTCCGGCTTACGTCTCCGAGATAGCCCATCCCGCGTATCGAGGTGCCATGACTGGTTTATACAATGTGCTTTGGTTTGGAGGTGGTATTCCGGGAACGTTTATCCCGTGGAGAACGAGCTCCATTGAGGGGACGATGAGCTGGCGGATCCCGATCTGGCTGCAGATGATATTTTCAGGATGTGTGCTCTTGTTCTGCTTCACTATTCCAGAGGTATGTGGACTGTTCCTCATCTCTAGGGAAAGTTGGGGAAAGCTAACAACTCCCAGTCCCCTCGTTGGCTCATTTCGCAGGACAAACATGAAGCGGCACTCAAAGTCCTAGCCAACTACCACGGCGAAGGCGATCGCAACGCGCCCATCGTCCAACTCGAGTACCGCGAGATGATCGAGGACATCTCCAAGACAGGCTCCGACAAGCGCTGGTGGGACTACCGGGAGCTATTCAACAGTCCCGAGACACGGTATCGATCCATGCTGGTGATCTTCATGGGTATGTATCACAGCCATCACCTACAACCTTTTCAACTCCATACACCAACTAACTAATGTTCAAAACAGCCTTCTTCGGCCAATGGTCCGGCAACGGTCCTGTCTCCTACTACTACCCACAGATGCTACGCGGAGCCGGCATCGAAAACAATAACACTCGACTGCTTCTACAAGGACTCCAAAACGTGGTGCAATTCATCGGCGCCGTGGTCGGCGCGTTGATCACCGATCGTGTCGGTCGTCGACCTCAACTCCTCGTCTCAACAGCTCTCATCGTAGTCCTGTTCGCGATCGTGCTCGCGCTAAACGCAACCAACGTCGTGGACGGGCCCGACGGCGAACCCATCGCTAAAAGTGGCGTCACAGCTCGAGCCCAAATTGCCATGATCTTCATCTTCGGGTTCGTGTATTCGGTCGGCTGGACACCCAATCAGGCTATGTATCCAGTTGAATGTCTAAGATACGAGAGTCGGGCGAAGGGAATGGGAATGAATAACGTAAGTTTCTATCTACTTTCCAGCTACCACATTTGCCATGACATTACTTGAGAAAGAAAGAAGCTGAACAGAGAGCACAGTTCTTCGTCAACATCGCCTCCTTCTACAATACCTTCGTGACGGGCATTGCTTTCACCGGCGCCGGGTGGAAGTACTACTTCCTCTTCATCTTCTGGGACACGTTCGAGGTGATAATCATCTATTTTTTGTTCGTGGAGACCAGCAAGCGCACACTGGAAGAGTTGACGGCGATCTTCCAGGCCAAGAGTCCCGTGAAGGCGTCGTTAAAGAAAGACGAGGTGTTTGTGGCAGGTGACGGCGCAACACATATTCAGAAGGAGGTCTAATTTATCTTCCTTGACATACAATGCAGGTTGAACACAGGCATGAACAAAAGAAGCAATCTATTTATTTATATTATGTTAATCTAAACCTATCAATACCAAAAGGCCAACCCAATATATGACCAAACCCATCAATCCAATCCAATTCGTTTCATATCTCATACACCCATACCATAGAAAACTCCATTACCATCTACCACCACCACCACCAACCAAACCTACAAAACATAAGAAAAAAGAAACTAATCCCTCTGAACAATCATCTCCCTAACAACCTTAATCCCCTCCTGGCTCCCCCTACTCATCTCATCCCAAACCCCGGCCTCACAAGCCGTCGCCTCGCTGCTAGCTCCCCCTTCACTCGGCAATATCCCCCTCTCCTCCCCCCACCCCGTCTGCGTCTCCGGAATCGACAACGGATGCCGAAACCTCTTCTTCCGACTTTCCTTCGTCCTCGTCCCCGATCGCCCCCCACTATCCGTGAGCGGATAGCTCTGCCCACTCGCCATCCCCTTGGTACTAATATACCAGCCCGCGCGGCGCGCAATGCGCCGACACAGCGGGTAGATCATGGGTGCGTTGCCGATGACCACTGCGACGAAAGTTTCGCGACAGGCCCAGCTGCCGGCTTGTTGGGCGCCGTTTGCGCCGGCCTGTTTCCATATTTTCTTGTTAGATTTTGCGGATTCAAAGGTAAAGGAGGCGGGGGAGGGGAGGCGGGGGGGGAGAGCTTACGGTGAGGATTAGCACACAGCGGAGGATTCCGGCGGCCATGACGAATATGCCGCCGCTGAAGAGGACGAGGAGTTCGAGTTTTTCGCGCCAGGGGAGGCGGGCTTTGAAGAGGATCTGTGTTTCATTGTTGTGTTAGAGTAGGGTGTGTGTGCGTGTGTGTTGTGGGGTTTTGGTGGTTTTGGCGGGGGGGGGGGGGATGGATTTACCGGTGTAGGGATGGAGATTAGGTATATATCTGTTGCTACGTTCAAGACGACGGTTACGTAGATATCGATGTGCGAGATGGCAGGTTGGCAATGGTTTCCTGGGTCTGGGTGAATTTGCCAGTTCTTATGCATGGGGTGGCATCCGAAGAGGATTGAGCAGATGACGGCGATGTAGGTGGCGGCGATGAGGATGTAGGCGACTTGGACGCGGCGTTTCATGTTTAAGAGGCCGGAGCTGTGGTGGGGGGGTTAGTTTTGTTAGATATGATACCGATATAGATAGACGTGGGTGCGTACGTCAATCGTGAGTAGAAGATAGCCATGCAGGCCTTTAACAACCACAGCAGGGTTGTGTAGAGGGACCAGCCTAAGACTTGAGTCTTGGAGCCGCCCACGCGCAGCTGGTATTCTTCTGAGGTGGGCGAGAGCGTAGCCCGTTGCTCGTCAGTCATGGAGTTGTTGGCCAGGCCGTGCCACCAGGCGCCGACGCAGTAGGCGGCGCCTGTTTCCAGGCCGTAGACGACCTGTTGCGTCAGGAGTTAGTATGTTTGATTCTCTCTTTAATCGTAAGCTAAGGTGTCGCATTACCCCCGCTAATGGCATTAAGAGGTCGTCCAGCTGGAAATTTCTCGGTCCAGCTGTGATCCATCGCGCCAAAATGCGGATGGCGATGGTGACGATTGCGATACCGAGGAGGGTAAAGGCCTCGATGGTAAAGTCATCACCAGCCATGGCGGCAGTTCGGGATTCTAAGATGTGCGCTCAAATCATTCAGAGGACCAGTGGGGAAGGCAACGGGGCGGGCGAGTGAACTGTGGTTATATAAAAGAAGTTTTATAACTGGCGGCATGGATCACCCACAATCGATGTATCTATCCAGGGGGGAAGATGAATTGTAATCAAAACTCGCCCTTCAATAACACGGTTCGATAGATTGGGTCTCAACGGCCCGTGAAGATTTGCAACGCTCATCCTGGCTCCATTATCTCCTAATGAACGACCGTACTGTTACCGGTTTGGGCAAAGAGGGTGGCACCCAAGGTGTAATCACGGAGACCGGGTGGATCGTTTCCCGTTGAGCTATTTACTATTACCATTACTATTTATAAGATGAATGTATTGTTGCATTTTTGATGGTTTTACTTCATGGCTCGTTGCCCACTGTCGGAAATGAGCTGGGATATATTAGGGTTTGTGATGTGGCATGCGAGAAAAGCCCTCTTTTGATCAGTAAAAAGTGATACTCGATATCTCGCATGATTTACTTTAGATATAAAGTCTAACACAAATCTTCTTTATCAACTAGAAACACAAAAGTACACACTCGTCCAGAGTGGTGAGTTAAAAAAAATTGGGCCCACTTGAAACCGACTAAGATAACAATGCAGAGTCGGCACATCTCCCAATAACAATGCATAGAGGCGTCTGTCAACCGTCGAATCTCCACAGCTCCACCGATTATCATTTCTACGGTGGTAGTTGTTACTTCTTTCGGTCCCGTTTAGAATCCCGACGCCGTTTAGCCTGACTTTAGTGGTCGCCCGATGCAACCAGGCTTCTTCTAGTTTTCCTAATTGCCCAAGCTCCGTGCGAGTAGCGAAAAACTTTTTTACCCCCTTCATATTGCCTGATCGGTTGTTGGGGAGAATGCGGGAGTTCCAACGGTTCTCTGGTTCCCCGGAAGGATGAGTGCCATTCCGACGATCGGCATGCTCTAATATAACTAGGTGTCCACTTCGGAATTCTGTCCCTCTTCTCCAAATAAAACGAAATACCCTCCGCGTCGGCCATTGCGGAGGAATGCGCTCCCCTTGGATCATCCTGAGCTGAACCTGCCAATCCAAATTGAATGTACCAGTGAATTGAACATCATGGAGACTACTGATGTGACCATCATCGGAGCGGGTACGTTCACATATCTGAAACTGACAGGTCTTGGGAAGCTGTAGATGAATTGTCAGCTCACATTGCGTCGCCAGGATGGAGTGGTCTCGCTGCCCTCAAGACATACCACCAAGTCGATCCCTCGGCCTCCATCGTGCTGTTTGAGAGCGCCGCCTCGGTCGGTGGTGTGTGGGCCAAGCACCGCTTGTATGCCGGCCTCAAGTCCAACAATATGCTCGGCACCTACGAGTTCAGCGATTTCCCCATGGACGAGTCGTTCGGTGTCAAGCCCGGCGAGCATATCCCGGGAACCGTAATCCAGCATTATATGGAGCGGTTCGTCGGGCATTTCCAGCTCACCCCTTTCATCCGCCTGAACACGCGGGTACGCATCGCGGAACATAATCCCGACGGCACATGGACGTTGACCGTCAACGACCACGACGGGGAGAAGACCGTCGTGAGCAAGAAGCTCATCGTCTGCACGGGCATCACCTCCCAACCGTTTCTACCCACGTTCCCCGGCCAAGACACCTTCGGCGCGCCTCTCTTCCACTGCCGCGACCTCCTCCAGTACCAGGACGACCTCCTGCAAGCCAACAAGCGCATCACCGTCCTCGGCGGCACCAAATCCGCCTGGGACGCCGTGTACGCCGCCGCGACAGCCGGCGCACACGTCGACTGGGTAATCCGCGACAACGGCCACGGCCCAGTGTGGATGGCACCACCCTACGTAACGCCCCTGAAGAAATGGCTCGAAAAGCTCGTCACAACGCGGCTCCTCACCTGGTTCAGCCCCTGCATCTGGGGCTCCGCCGACGGGTGCCATCGCATCCGCAGCTTCTTGCACGGCACCTGGATCGGGCGCAAAATCGTCGACGCCTTCTGGAGCATCCTGGGCAACGACGTAATCCAACTAAACCAGTACGACGCGCACCCAGAAACGCGCAAACTGAAGCCCTGGTTCAGCCCCTTCTGGATCGCCTCCAGCCTCAGCATCCTCAACTACCCAACCAACTTCTTCGACCTAGTCACCACCAACAAAGTCACCATCCATATCGACCACATCAGCCACCTCACCCCAAACACCATCCACCTCGCCTCATCTAAACCCCTCCCCACCGACGCCCTAATCTGCTCAACAGGCTGGCAAGCAACCCCCAACCTCGACTTCCGCCCGTCCTCCCTCCCCGAAACCCTCGGCTTCCCCTGGTCCAACGACCCCATCCCAGAGTCCGTCATCAAAGCCGCCGACACCGAAATCCTATCCCGCTTCCCCCGTCTCGCCCACCCTCCCCCCATAGCCCCGAACTACACCCCCCTCGCCCCGGACTCCCCCGCAACAGCAAAGCACCCGTTCCGCCTCTCCCGCTTCATGATCCCTGCCTCCCCAACCCTAGCCCAAACCCGCTCAATAGCCTTCATGGGCCTCGCAATGACAATCAACACCACAATGCTCGCGCAGGCCCAAGCCCTCTGGATCTCCGCCTACTTCACCAACCGCCTGACACCCTCATCAACGGAGAGATGCCCCGAGGCCGTGCGCAAGCTCCTAACAGCCACGGACCCGGACGTGGATGCCGATCTGGTCTGGGAAACGGCCCTGCATACGCAGTTCGGGGTCCATCGGTATCGGGGTGGATTTGGGCACCGGAATCCGGATTTTGTGTTTGATGCGGTGCCGTATGTAGATCTGTTGTTGCGGGATTTGGGGTTGGACGTGGGGAGGAAGGAAGGCGGCGTGAGGTGGTTGGTGCCGTACGGGGTGGAGGACTATAGGGGGTTGGTGGAGGAATGGGTTTCTTCTACTAAGGAGAAGAAGGAGGGGAAGAAGGATGTTTGATATCTTGATCTTGATCTTGTTTTGATGTTATAGTTTGGTTCGAGGAGTGGGGTTTCCGTCGTGTCAAGGAAAAATATTCTAAATGTACACATCTCACAGTACGATAATCTTATCTTGAATTGATTGACTTTGTACACAGTAGAGCCTGTCCGCATATGTATGATATTGTTTATCGCTGCAAGGGAGACTCGTTCCGAAATCAATTTGCCGTCAAATACTTGATCCCAATAGTTTCCGACAACGCCTCTACCTACATACGTGTACATACATCCCGGCTATCCCTCGCTGATGCCAAACCATTCACGAAGATAAAAAGTGAAAAAAAAAAGGGTAATAAAATAAAATCAGGAGGAAAAGATCACAGAGCAGTCAATATAATCAATCATCCCATCCGACCGGCTCGCCAAGGTACATACAAGCCAAATACAATCGCATCGTGGAGCATACAAGAATAATAAATCACAAAATTCAAAGACGTGGGAGATGGTGTGGGTTGTCAATCCGAAGGAGAAGTCAAGATAGAATATGTCAAGTCGGGAATGGAGATCATGAGGTTCAAAATTCGCGGTCCCAAGGAGGGGGGGGGAGGAGAAACAAAAGGTTTTTTATCACATCGACACCGAATGGTCCAGGTCTTTGTCTTCCTGTTTCACCCCGTCATTCTCCTGTTTCGGGGGAGTCGAGTCAGACACGTCTTTGCCGCAGCCTTTAACAAGAATATGTCGCTGTTCCAGTTAGTTCTTCATTCCACGCGCGGGATGAACAAGCCGACAGAGGTCTCACCTTCAATGCATCCTTGCGAGAAAAGCTCTTATCGCAATGGTTGCACGGGAACGGTTTCACCGAGAGATGGATCCGTTTATGTCGCTTGAGGTCGTGATTTCGGTTGAAACTCTGTGGGCACTGATCACACTTGAAGGGACGGTCGTTTGCCGGACCGGGTGGGTGCCCGGCATGGGGTGGGTGCCCGGGGTACATCTGTTGCATGCTGGCCATATGGCCGCTGTTGAATCCCAGTAGGTTCGGTTGGAGGCTACCCAGGAGCGACATCTGTCCGTTCGGATTGTGTACGTTCGTCATTACCGGTCCATTCATCGCGGGCAACGAGTACGAGGGCCACGGCTGTCGCTGGTAACTGAGATGATGCGGGGGAGGATTGGACGCCACCCGTCCCGGGGGGTGAATCCCGATGCCCGGTTGCCCGTAGGGGGCATATCCACCCGGGGCATTAGACATTTGCTGGATGCTGGTGTACGAGGGCGCGGAGGAAGATTTGGTCATATATGGGTCGTTCGACGGGAGAGATGGCGGTGCCGGAGGCGGGTTTGGAAGCCCACCCTGCGCGGTGAGCATCGCATGCGCCATAGTGTGATGCTGCGAGTTCGAGCCCGGCATACTCGACGCGAGCGGCTGCTGGAAGGGGGGCAATTGATTCATGTCGTACGGTTGGCTGGGGATCGCTTCCGTCCCCGGGGGCGAGGTTGTCGGATTTCGATGGAGATGGTTTACAGGTGGAGAGAATGTGTCTCGCGGAGGGTAGGAGTTCACGCCCGCGCTCCAGGATTGACGCGGTGCGGCGGACGCACCCCCGTATGAACTGTGACCCTGCCAGTAGGCGGGCGCATAGGTCGAGGTCGGATCAGGGGATGCGGAAACGGCGGCGGTTGCCACAGCGGCGGTGGTCGTCGTCGGGGTGTCGCCGGACTGTGTCGAGGCGGGCGGCGTCAAAAGGCTATTGAGACTGGGATTGTGCGGCGGTTGGGGATGCGCGGGATGGGCGTGATACTTCACCGCGGCTCCTCCGATCTGGAAGTTAGGCGGCGGCAATTCGAAGCTGGGCAGCGACGGCGCTGCGGGTCGGCGCGAGTTCAACGGCTGAGGGGCAGTCAGCGCATCTAGCGCCGTCCCCATGCCCGGTGGCGGAACCGCGAGAGTAGCCAGGTTGGCGGTAGTGACTCGTGAGAACCCTAGCGAGTGATACAGGTCGGCCGAGTCCACGGACGGAGGACTGGCCAAGGTCGGGGTAAGATTGCCGGTAGGGTATCCCGTATCGCCTCCGATCGCCCAGTATCGATTGCCAGGCAGGCCCCCAGAGACGTCTGGAGGATCCAGGAGGGGCGATGATCGCGGACTAGCGATCTGAATGGATTCACCCACGAGGAAGAATGCGATTCAGAGGGAGGATCGACTCTTGTTTGATTCCTGTCAAACGTGCCCGATTCTCGCGGTCGCTATCCAGTCGAATTCGAGGTGATGCGCTTCTTGAGGTTTTTTCCACCTAATTCTTATACGGGAGGCATATCCTGACGGTCCGGCGGTGATGATTCGGCGACCACCGATCACAGAGAATCCACCGGGGGGAAGAGAAGAGTCAGCGAAACTCGGGGGGGCGAAATCAAGACAGCCGCATGGCCTGTTGTACTGGTAAAAATCGACAGAACGATCCCAGTCGACGGTGAGTGACCAAAATGCACCCGAGCGAATACCCAGACAGAGAGTGTGTATGGATTGAGTGTGTGGGAGAAAGTCCTAAATGAGCGATCGTCAGATCAGTTGAATAAGTTTGAATCCGAGTGGTAGAAGGTCGTTGGCGGGAAAGATTAAAAAGAAGAGGTGTTGATGGGAGATGGTAAGTCGAGGTAGGGAGTCCAAGTGAAAGTGAATTGAAGGGAAAAGCGAGATGAAAGAGGGGATTATTACTTTTCTTATTATCTTATTTTATTATTTTATTATTTGGGTTGATTGTATAGTCCGAACCGGCGTATCAATGATTTAAGTTGAAGGGAACCCAAAAAGAGCGAGAACCAAACCCCAGCAATGAGGAATGGGGACGTATCCAGACCAGTCCAGCGCCCGGTCTGGCCAGCGCGGGGACTGCTTGTCGGGGGGTCTAAATCCAAAATAAAACAGAAAAGATTAAAAAAAAAAAAAAAGAAAAATAGAAAATTCAAAAGATTAAACCCGAAAGAAACAAAAATTAGAAAACAAAAAAGGCTCGCCTTACCAGCGAGACAACAAGAAGGTCAAATATTACCAGGGAGGAAAAATATACATATAAATAAAATATAATAAAAAACTTGGAAAAAATTCCCCCCCAAATCCAAAATCAGCAATAATAAATAATCCAAAAGGAAGACAGTGAATCAGCGCCGGAAGCTAAGGCACTTTGAGGATTAGTCCCCTCGGGAAACCAACCAGATGGCCAGGAATTTCCTTTTTACTTTTCTTCTCTTTCTTTCTTTCTCTCTCTCTCTCTCTCTCTCTTTTTTTTTTTTTACACCTTTTCACTAATCTTACCTTACCTGAGTGTGGGTGTGTATGAACTGAAGAGTAGTAGGAAGCTAAAGCAAGAGAGACAAGGTGTCCCGACAGATGGATGGGAAGGGGGAGGAAAAAAAAAAAAAAAAAAAAAAAAAAAAAAAAAAAAAAAAAAAAAAAAAAAAAAAAAAATCTAAAGAGAAAGGAAAAAGAAGATTTAGGGTAATTCAACCAAGGCCAACGGAATTCCTTGGGTAATTTTAATTTATCGAGCCCTTTCAGGTAGAGGGTACTAGTTGAGACTAGGTACCATTACCATTACTCCATTATATTTAGAACGGTAATTAACTAGCCCTCAACTGATCAACACCGACAACGTGGTTGACAGGGCTCCAAGTCCACACCCACCCTTCGGTCTGTACCCACGGTCGAAGGCAACCTAAAAAAAGGATGGTCTTTTTTAAGGTACTTCGTTCCTATACTCGGATTCTACCGTGAAGGAGGTATCTCGATCGCGATTATGATTCACATCATATGAAAAGCTCGAAAAGCTCGTGACGTTCTCTCCCTTCTCCGACTCTTACCCCATCGGGTAGACTCAGATCGAAGTGACTTCAACAAGGGTCATATATTCAACTCATGGATGGCTATCCGACACTGGTATGCGTCGGAATCGTTGGACGGAATGATTGATCAATCATCCCAGAAATGATAGCCTCAGTCATCCAAAGAGACTAACTCCCGGGATGAAGGGAAATGGTAGACATGTGGAGTTCCCTGCCATCCATATCTCCTAAACTTAGCTGGGCCAAAGTTCGAAGAACCTCTAGCTGAGTGTTTCCCTGCTTGGTGGAGCAGGAGAGAATAAGCTTAGCACTGCGGTGGACGATCGCTGCTGCGACTTGGGAGGGATCCGTGTTCGATCGACATATGGAGAGAGAGCTGAAGAGATAATAATACTAATAACCAAAGTAACATTACATAATACGTCTCCGATTGAAACCAAAACAAACAGCCGCAAAAAGCAAAAACAGAACACACGAAGTGGACCAAGTTCGGTATGAATCCGATCGAGAAAGAAGAGAAAGAAATGAATCGCAGACCGATAAGCCTGAAAAGGGGCCAAGTAAGCGAAAGTTCCGCTCTCCATTAATTCTTCTCCTTCTCGCTTTTATTCTAGGAATTTATTTCTAGATTATTTGGTTTTATTCTGCCATGATTGGATTTTTTTTCCCTCCCACACCTGCCTAGGAGGTCTAGCTCTTTTAAGGCCAATTTTTCTTTTGTGTCTTATTCTGCCTCCTTGCGTCCGGGAATGCATGGCAGGTGGAGGGAATGGAGGGATTTTCATAGGGAGTTTGGAGCTATCACCTTAGCAGGGAAAATTATAGAGCAAAAGAAAATAAAAATAAAAATAAATATAAATATAAATATAAATAAAGAAAAGAGGATAAATTTATAAAATTAGCATTCGATTGAGACACAGGCCCTCACACAAGATTGTATGCACAGAATCTGTACCTCGAGTCGTTGAGTTCCTTCGGCCATCCAAAAAGAAAAAGGATGGTGACTGACAGGTTTAATCGTCAGATGCATTGTTCGGAGACTGCATAATGGCCTCTTGAGAAACATACGTCTCGCGCCGGAGCCATAATGGGCTCATCGGGGGCCCGGAAACAATGATGGCCTGTTCATCCATATCAGTTTTCTTACCCTTTTGTATCCACTGCTCTAGGCTAGTTATTGGCCTCGCACGGGCCTAGTCTCCCCCGTTCATCAATCACATCGGCCTCGCAATCAAAGAACCATTCCTCGTCTCAAGGCAAACGGGGGGGTGGTGGTCTGGTTCGCCTTTTGTTGCCCTTCTTCATTCCATCTATCAGTATCCACGCGATGTGCTCACCGGTTTCCACGGATTGGCTGAACTACGGCGCAATCAAATCCCAACCTGTCCCTCATTCTCGTGATTAATGATCCTTCCAACTTTCTTCGAGTGTTCCCGTGCCTTCTGCAGAATACGAAGTGCAAGCATTTTGTCCAGGTCCCGCAGCTCGTTCGGGCCTAGTAGTCCACTCAGTCCGTGCTCGGTTTGGTAGAGAGAAGCGAAAAGAAGCAGGACTGAGTCGTTCACTGTAGGCGCGGCAAAGCCCGGCGAAAAAAAAAAAAAAAAAAAAAAAAAAAAAGAAAGAAAGAAAGAAAAGAAAAACCAAATTCCCAAGAATCCACTAAAAAAGAAGAAAAAGGAAAAAGAAAATGGGCGCTAGTTTAGCTTCAAGCCAAAGATCCTTGCGCAGGTCTGGCTTCTGGTTCTGGTTCTGGGTCTGGGTCTGTGTTTTCTGTGTCCGTGTCTTGTCAGGCTGGCAGTTCGGCTGATGTCGCGCGGCTGCGTGGTTGGACTATCCGTTGTCTAGTCCTAATCCCGTCTAGTCTCCACCCGCCCATTCCCAGACCGGTCTGCTGTGCATCTCATCTCAGCCAAATCACCGATTTCTTTGACACACGCAAGCTTTTTTTTTTTTTACTGTTCTTTTCCCTTCCCACTTTTCATGATTATCATGATTATTCTTCTTTCTTTTTGTATTTTGTCTCCATCTTGTCTTCAATCACCGTTTGTATCTTCTCAGCAACAGTTAGATGCTTATCAATAAAATTAATCCTTTTTTTTTTTTAAAAAAAAAAAAAAAAA